ATATTCTAAGACATCAAAGTTGGCTCTTTGTTGTGGATCTATTTGTAGCATGTCAGGGGTTCCCAAATATTGGTGAAGCCCATTACTCTGTAGCTGCATGGAGGATAGTATATTCGTTGTTGATGCTTCTGAAGATGAGGTTATGCTTCGGGTTTGGGTGCTCTTCGGTCTATTAAGTGCACTCGAGGAGTCGAAGTCTTCATTTGTTTCCTATGATGCTACTTCCCCGGGTATTTCGCATCTTCGTTGGTTCCCATACCTATTTTCATATTGCAAATATACATCTGCAAGATATTGTCTTATCTCTCCTAGTTGATTGACATATGCTTCGTCTCGTAAATTTTCACTTAACATGTCTAACCCATTTTCTAAACACGCTAATTTAATTCTAGGGTCAAATATGACAGCTAAACAAAAAAAAAAAAAAAAAGGATTGGGTTTCCAATAATTTTTAAATTTTAATTACATTGCCTCTATTAGTCCTGTTAAGATTTCATTGTTTTTTTTTTTTTTTTTTTTTAAAATAAATCTAAAATTTTTATAATTGTATGTATTGCCAATGAACTAGTAGGATAATATACACCAAAAAGTTTTAAAGTGGATTGATAAAAAAATTTAAGAAAAGAATGAAATTTTTTAGCTATATGTTAATCACTGTCTACCAAATAATGAGGATCCCTATTAATTGCTACAAAATAACTAATTAAATTTGCATGAGGTAAATATAAATCAAGCATTAAATAAGTACTATTCCATCTAACAGGAATGTGTAATACAAAAATTCTAGGAGATATATTTGATTTTATACAAACATCTTGAAATTCAATATTTCTTCTATTATTACTAGTAATCCAAGCTAAAGAATCTCTAATTCTATCAATATTTTTTTAATTTTTTTCATACCACTTTTCATAGTCAAATTAATAATGTGACATACACAACGTTGATGAAAAAACTTCAAATTGTCATAAAAAAAAAAAAATTATTTTAAAAAAATCTATAGCCTCACTATTAGCTTTTGCATTATCTAAAGTTAAACTTATCACTTTGGGAATAATATCATAATCTTCTAAAACTTCAACAATTTTATTATAAATTTGTTTATCACTATGATTCACGTCCATTAATCTAAATCCCAATAAAGATTTATTTAATTTACATTCATTATCAAAATAATAATTAGTCATACAAATATAATCTTGTTTAGCTCTACCACTGCAAATATCGGCGGTTAGAGTCACACTAACATGACAACTATGTATTTTATTTCTTAATTATAATTTCATATTCCCAAACAATTTTATTAAATCATATCTAGTTTCTGTTTTAAAATAACTTTTAAATCTAGGAAAAAATGAATTTTTAATAAATATTTCAAAATATTTATCTTCAACCATATTAATAGGTTGATCAGTTGTAACAATATATAAAGCTAACTGTTCCCTATATACATCAGACTTATAACGCTAAGTAGTACTCATATTAGTTATTTGAGTTTGATTGATTTCTCTATTTCCATGTTGATTCATATGTTTACTAACATGCTTTTTTAAAGTACTAGTACCATTACCTGCGTCAGCTTTATAAATATTTCCACAATACTTGCATCTTGTTTTCTTCACTTGAACTACGTTTTCTATCTTGTAAAACTTATCGAAATGCACCCAAACGTCTGATGTGTGCCTGTCGTTGGTTCCGACTGTAGTTGATGAACCCGCTTTTGCTTGAGATGGAGTTGGACAAGGACAACGATTACGAGGACGACTTCTTGAACCACTGGGAGCTGTAGTAACATAAGGAGGAAGGGGGGAAATATTATGAGGTGTATCAGATTCTGAGAATGGGAAAGCGAGACTATTTGAATCTACTGCATTTATGTTAGTAAATTCAGGGGGACTAGGATAATTTTCTTCATCATCGAAATTGATGGGATGGAAATATCTATCCATTCTAGTTAAAAAAAAATGTGGATATAGAAGAAATAAAGAATTAACGAAGGAGAATTGGAATTTGGAAATATGAATTGAAAATTACAAAAAACTAATAAAAATTAAAATGAGAGCAAATTGACAACAAAGAGATTGAGAGATTTCAATAGAGAAAATGAGAGAACTTGGGATGTGAGGAAATATGAGAGTTTAGACCCTATTTACAGGAAAAAATGGGAAAAGAAAATGATCAAAAAGACCCCTCCAACTGTGATAAAACAGCTATATTTCAAGGGTAAAATGGGTTTTTGTAAAAAAATAAAATAAAATTTAATTTAATTTTTTTTGTTCAACCCACTGGTCAACTCGGCGGGTTGGACCGTTCTATTTTTTTTTTAAATATAACTTGTCAGGTCGCCAGGTTGGCCTATGAAGGCCCAACCCGCCCGACGGGGAATACTCGGGTCGGGTTAAGGTTGACCTGCCTAACGCGGCCCATTTATTCCACCTCTAAGAAAGATGTGTAAAGAAAAAACCTAGTTAAGGTTAAAAAGGTATTTTAGATTATAAATGGGGTGTAAAGTGATGTTTTTAAATATCAAATATGTGTTTTTAGTAATAATAAATATAGACTGACAAATGAATCTCACAAAATTTATCTCAAAACTCTAATGTGGTTGTTGATTTTAGTTTTCTTATGAATTTTTCCATCCATTGACGTTGTCTAGGGGTGAAGTGAGAGTGCGACATTGGGTTTGTGATATTTGTTTGTTAGTGCAGTATTGCTCTTTTAGTAATGTGGGTTAAAGATCAATTAGACAGGTTTAAAACTCACTTTTTTTATTTTTTATTATCCAATTGAATGTGAGGATTTAAACTTTAGACCATTGATTCTGACACTGTGTTAAGTTGCCGTTTCACCTCAAAACTTAAGTTAGTAAACTATGGTTTTAACAATATATTAGTATCATATCAAACATGTAGGACGAGTTTAAACCCTCTCATAAGTACCAGCATGGCCAGTAAAAACCGTATATAGCCATTTCTCAGCAGAACTTATCGGGAGCTCCAATTTCGAACTGAAGTTTGCAAAGCAAGTGTGGGGTAATTTCTAGAATATATGTACAAAAATAAAAAAAATTTACAAAAGGGGGATGAGACAAGACATTTATCATTCATAGTAAGTTTGAAAAATTGATAAAATGGGATTTATTGAGTTAATCATTTTCTTAAGGAAATTATTGGGTTATAGAATAAATTTGATAAGTTGAAAAGGGTATGTGCACGGGGAGGATGTTGTTGTGGACAGAAGAATGAAAATGAAGTTTTAGTTTAATAAGCTCCGTCGGTCTTGGACCGTTACTGAAGGATAGGGCCTTATTAAGTGACCATTTTTTAAACGGATTGGACCCATCCTTGAAATTTGTTGGTCTCCCAAATAGACTTCCTTTTTCAAACTGCATTTCTATGTAACTTCATTTAATAATGACTAGGTTTTGAATTTCATCTAAAAGGACATTAATTCTTTTCAAACTTCACATATATCAACAAACAAAATATAAATGTACAACATTAGTAAAATCAATTTGATAATAAATAAAAATAGAGGAAAAATAATTGTTTTTGCTTCAACATCGTTCATCTCCCATTGATTTAATACCAAGATTCTAGAAAGGAAATATATATAAAATAATAATAATAATAATTACATTCTCTCCATAGGTGTTTACCCCCGGCTCCGAATTTTGGAAACTAATTATCATACTCTTTTTATTCAGATAATAAATAAATTAAAATTGTCACACTCTTAACGTCAAAATTTCTCGACTACTTAGAGATAGGAGCTAATTTTTCAGGCTTGGGGTATACCCCAGAGTCTAGCCTGTTCAACCCAAGCCCGACCTAGGCTCAGTTTTAATATAAAATAAATTCAAAAATTAAAGTTTATATAATTATACATAAGAAAGAAAATCTTAAAACCCCAACCTATCCCCTCACATTTGCATAGAACAAAAGAGTAAAAGAAATCTTAATTCCCCACACATAACACAAACTCCAATTCCAAAAACTCAAATTTATTATTTAGGAAGATCATGGTCAATTAAATTTGAGAAAATTACAACCTTGTAAGATAATTACAAACCAAAATGATTTTTCCCTTTTAAAGTGAGAAGGAATATTAAAATAATTGTATTCAATTCCACTATGAGAATCCTGCTAAAAACATTTGATAAGTGATATATATTATTTCCGATGATGAATTTGACAGGGTAGTTCTTATTCATAAAATAATGTAGGTACATTTAGTAGTAAGTGTAAACCAAAAAATAGTAAGGTGAAAAACTGAAAATCATTGAGTAAAAGTAAATGTTTCCAAATTAAAAGAGCCAGTCTGGTTGGGCCGTACTAATCATTAATTCGGAAAGCGGAAAATGGAGGTGCGGGGAATCGAACAACGTGCCTCTCGCATGCGAAGCGAGCGCTCTACCATATGAGCTACACCCCCAACTGAACATTTATTTATTTTAATGACCTATATGAAATAGTTTTGGCACAATATGAATGAAAGGGGCAGCACAGCAGCCAGGATATTCGTAATCCCCTTTCGGGATCATCGGAGTATTATTTATAAATTACATTGGTTTTATTAATTATGCTTATTTCTAATAAGATAGAAGGGGAATTGACATTTGACAGGGGCATATCCCATTGCTCCTCATTATATAGTAGTTGACGGGTTTATGTATTTGAGAGAGAGTCTAATTTATTTAATTTTTGAAATTTCATGGGAGTTGCATATTTTCTGTCAACATTCAATCCTTACATTTAAAATGCAGAGATTGAAATTCCTTAAAAGTGGCGTCAGACGTGACAGCCTCAACCTTGATGATTTTGTCAAGTCTCAACTACTTCATTTTCACTAGCAAATAGTCTACAAATTACCTTCATGTACTTTATTTTCAGGAAAATCCCAAGAAAATTCATATCAAAAGTAATATGCTTCAAATCCATACACAAAAGTCCAAATTTGCCGTCCAACTCATATAAAAAAATAACATCAAGGCAAGCACAACACTCCAATACTTTTGAAATCCTCTAACAAACCTTTGAAAATAAAACTCAACTCCTCCTTTTTCATTTCACCATTATTAAACACCTCAATTATGTTGATTTTGATTTATTAGTGATCCTAATCAACCTTCAAATTAAGCTTTGTCAATGGACAGTACTGATGTGGAGAAGGTTTATGTTGCTGTTGGCAACGATTTGCAAGATGGATTCAAGACTTTGTGTTGGACGATTAGAAAGTTTAAGTCTCAGCCATTCTCCATTGTCATTCTTTATCTCACCAATGACATCTCGAGGGATCTTGTTTACACCCCACGTATGTTTTTTCACCTTTCATCTTTACTTGGTTAAGAAAAAATATATTTTTCTTTTTTCTGGTTTTGATTTGTGGGATCATTGTTTTTAGTTGGCTGCAAGCTTCCTGCAACTTCTTTGAGCGATGAGGTGCTTGCAGATCGTCAGAAGTATGAAGAAGGGAAGATTGAAGAGTTACTTTCCAAGTATAAAGCTTTCTGTGGCAAGGTTTGATTCATTAGTTTTATATTCTCTAGCGGTTAATCAATTTAGTTGATAATTTTTTTTTCTATTTTAATTAAGATTTTTTGTTTTTGATAGGTGAAAGCTGAAATACTGAAAATTAGAAAATCTGACGAGCCTGTTCATAAACTGGTGTTAGATTTGATCTCAGGACTGAAAATAACCAAACTTGTCATGGGAATTACTTTCATGAGATCCTCATCAGGATCAGGGTATGTTTTAGTTTCCTTCAATTGTTAAAATAATTCTTTGAGTGATATCAATCATTTCATATATAAACTTCAGGAAATCAAGAAGTGCGATTAGTGAATCATTCTTTGTCCACCTGCACAAACCTGAATACTGTGAATTGTTCATAATATGTGGAGGGAAACTTGTGTTCCTGAAAGGAAATAACGAGGAAGGAGTCATGGAGGATGATCAAGGAGTTACACTTGCAAGAATGAGAGGCAACTTTAGAAGTAGGATAACTAAAATACTCACCGAAAGTTATTCTATGGGAAGAACCTTTCGCTTACCAAATTCACCAAGAAACCCGGACTCCCCTAATTCACAGAATAACTGGGAAAAACATGTCCAGGACATAGAAAATTATTTCCACCAATTGATGTCTCTAAACTTAGAAGAAGAAAATCCTGAAGCAGAATATGAAGTTCTGCAGACAAGTTCAATGGAGGCAATTTGGGCAGAACGTGAGGATTCTAATATGGTAAAAGCTTCAGTTATCATCAAAGATAGATATTTTCTGCAATATGTGGACATGATTTAGCCTAGTTGTAGTTTAATTAGATTCCTTACCGAATTTCTGCAATTGGTTTGTTTTTTATGTTATCTTTATTTGGTTGCTTTTGACTTGAAGGAATATGATAGTGATGGGGATATATGATTAAATTTCAGTACTGGGATTTTTGTTTTATTGCAGGCATGGTCACTTTACAGCCAATTTCTGTGGAATAATATGGTTGTTCTTTGGGTCCCCATAACTTTACTTTGTATTCAAGCCATACTTATCTAATCTTCTTGGGTAATTAGATAAAACTATGATATATATAATATTTTTCTAACAAATATCAACATTTGGGTATGATCAGAGTGTTGCAGAAAAAATGGAATCTTTGAGAAGTAAACTAAACGAAGCTCAGGAGATGATCCAGGTGCAGATAAAAGAGGCGAAAACCCATTCTGAAAGATACTCAAAAGCTGAAAGGGCTATACGTTTATGTACCAAGAGGGTACTTCTAAAACCTGTTGATTTCTGTTTTATATAGCTTACTTTCATAATTCATATATTTTATTTTATTATATTACTGATTGATTTCCAGGCTGAGGAACTTGATAGTCTAACAAAAGAAGAGCTGACAAATCGGATAGAAATACAGAAAAGTTTAGATGATGAAAAGGAACAACTATATGAAGTCACAAGAGATGTAGAAGAGAGCAAAAAGAGATTGAGTTCACTTGTTGAACTCCAATCCGAGCTCTCGAAGAAGCTTCAATTATCAACAATAGCAAAAGGGCATGCAGAGAAACAATTGGAGAAAGCGGTGATTGGGAGGGCGGAAATGGTTAGAGAGATTGAGGAGCTGCGACGACAACGAGATGTTCTTCATCGTAGAATCGAGTTTTGTAAAGAGAAAGATGCCATTGGAATGGTTACAAGGTCTAGTTATGAACTGATAAGCTGTTGTTATAAAGAGTATGCAGCTGAGGAGATTCGAGTGGCCACTGATGATTTTTCTGAACGTTTGAGATTGAAGTATGGTGGAGACTGGACTAATGTGTATCGAGGACGAATCAATTTTTCTTCTGTTGCCATCAAAATGCTCAGCTCTGGATTGTCTCAGGATGCTTTTGAAGCTAAGGTAATCAAGGGTAATGAGATCTTTAATATAATTTTTTTGGTAAAATAGGTGAGCGTTTATGATGTTTGGTTGGAGAGAAAACAAGGGAAATTGAAGAAATACGATGGGAAAAAATGTCATTTTTATGGTTTCTCTCTTATCCTAGCTTGAGTTTGGGCCTACATAATATAAACCAAATTTCGTTCCTAGAAGTAACATTAACCTATGTGTCTAATTAAGTACTTGAAATAGAAATTTATGATTCATAATTGACTATGATTTTGCAGGTGAAGTTTCTTACAAACATCAGGCATCCTCATTTGGTTGCCATAATAGGTTTCTGCTCGGACCTGAAATGCATAGTTTTCGAGTACATGCACTATGGTAACTTAAGAGACATTTTATTTACTTCTAAAAGGAACTACAGAAAGCATGGACGGGCCCTTGGGTGGGCTGATCGGATCCGCATTGCTCACGAAGTTTGCTCGGGCCTTGGCTTCCTCCACTCGGCAGAGCCCAGACCCATTGTCCATGGCCACCTCACACCATCAAACATCCTCCTTGATCGCAATTTTGTTGCAAAGATTAGTGGTGTAGGGTTGGGAAGATTTAGTGATCAATGTGATGAGAGATCGGATGTTCGAGCATTCGGGGTGCTTTTGTTGCATCTTTTAACAGGGAGGAATTGGGCCGGGCTTGTTGAGGAAGCAATGACGTTGGATCGGACGACCCTAGTCCATGTTTTGGATGAGATGGCTGGAAACTGGCCCTTGGATTTGGCAGAGGAAATGGCTGGGATAGCAATGAAATGTTTGTCAGTAAGCCAAAAGGCCCATAAAGATTTGAGGATTACAAATGTTATGAAAGAGCTTGATGAATTGAGGAAAAAGGCTGATGGTTTAACGGCAACAGGAGTTAGTGAGAGGGTGATTGATAAATTTACAAATAAAGAAGAAGACTCAAGTGATGTTCCCAGTGTTTTTCTCTGCCCCATATTTCAGGTTAGTGTCCATTAAAGAACAAAGATGATTTTACTACCGTAAATGATGGATACTAGGCACTGCTCGTGTCAACCCGTGCAGTGTTGTTGCTAACGTACCCACCTGGGGTTGAGATTTGCTCTTCATTTGATTAATAAAACTTCATTCACCTTTTGTGATTTTAATGTTGGTTGCAGGAAGTAATGAAAAATCCACATGTAGCTGCAGATGGATTTTCTTATGAGCTGGCAGCAATGGAGGAATGGCTAGGAATGGGGCATGACAGTTCTCCCATGACAAATCTGAGACTTAAGCACAAATTTCTCACTCCTAATCTTACCCTTCGTTCCCTCATTCAAGATTGGCATAATAAAAACCCAACCGTGGCTTCTTAAAAACTTATACACAATAGCTTTATATTCTCTCTGTAATTTTTTCTGTTTTCGCTATTCACAGTAATTCATCTGATTATTCACATCATGTCCCCAACTTTGCATGAGCACACCGGCCAAGGTGTTCTTCAAAGATTTATATACAAAAGGGTACACTTAAAAGAATGTTTTAGCTATGTATATAATATGAATCAATCATGTCTTATCAATTACAAAAGACAATTTTCCCAGGGAAAAACGAGTAGGTTTACAAATACACTACTACTACATTAACTTTAAGAATGCTTCTCAATTCCTGTTATAACAAATCAGTATGTATTGTTAGCTATATTTTTCTTTTTTCATCTGAGCCATACCATCTCCAAGCTCCTTCAACTCCAATCTGGAAAGTTGTATTTCAACAGGGAAACTTCACAATTCATGCAACAAGTTGTTATCTACCATATACTACACACCAGAACTTCTTGACCGACCAAAAAACCCGGAAACCTTTGTTGACAAGGAATAATTTGCCTGCAAGGATGGATCACTGGCCATGTCTTCAGCACGAGACCATATGTAAACCCCCCGTTCTTGCCTGCTGCCTGGAACAGTATTCTCTAGTACAAATGCCACCAAGAGGGTCACCACCATGTTCATCGACATGAGTGCATTTATGGCAAAATCGAGCTGACAGATTCAACAAGAATATTACAGATCAGCTCTCTTCTATCACAAGGAAAATAAAAATGACATCAAATAAGTGACAATATGCTCACTCACACATATGTTCTCATAATCTCTTATGAATGTACAGACTTGGTCAGTAGACCTGTATCCAATCAGCATTTTTTAACAGACTATTATCTTCCATCATCTAGACGGAAAGTCGTTGCTTGACCTTATGCAGACAACTCCCAACTAAGAACAAAATGGGATGGAGACTTACTTGTTTGCTTCTCGTGTGTGCTGGTCCATTTGATGCTGCTGCATAAGGGACAAAATAACTGGGCAATATTAAACTGGACTCTGGTTGGTACTGTTGAAAGTAGGCAGGGATGGACAAACCAAGGAACAATGAAATGCCAACTATCATTATGTTCCTAAAACTTGCTGATTGACTATACTGCAAAGTTGAGAGACCCATTGCCACAAGAAGTGCCCACATGAAGCATAATATGGAAGCAGCCAAGGCCAGTGGTATAGATGCAAGAATGGCACCAATTTTTCCTACAAATGAAAACAAAGAATCAAATATATTTAGACCACATGTAAGACATGAATACGCATAATACATTTTCTACCCAAAAAAAAAAAAAAATATTAGTTGCACACTAAAGCAAAATCCAGTGATACCTAGACTTTACCAATCAGACCCAACAAGAAAGGTTTGATGCAATCTAATCTAGGCAGACTAGGACCTAATCAACTTAAAATATATGTGCATCACACATGCACAAGTACATTCATGTATACATGAAAATTATATGACTATAGCAAAAGTATAATTCAGAAAACTCGATCAGTTCTGACTATTTTCAAATCTTGAGTACTCTAAGATGCTGAATGAAACCTATCATGTATACCTTTGAACTAAACATATAGGCAATACGACAAACTTAGTAGTCCAAAATCAATGCCAGTAGACCTTACCCCTATGATCATTAAGAAGATTCACAATGCATGAATATGTACTCAGAAGAAGTATTCCACTCTCAGTCTTGGCTTTTTAGATGAATGTTATGGAGCTATACCTACAAATGAGAAGAGGATCATGAAAGCAGCTCCAATTTCCACAGCCCTTCGGCTAGCCACCTTTGTTATATTAATGGTATGTACATTTTCTGTCAAGGTAGTTGAACCGGTACCTGACCCCCAAAGTCCAGCCAATATACTACAAAACCCCTCCAATGCAATTCCTCTGCTAACAACTCCAGGTGTTGGAGGTCTTGAATTGACTAGCATAGATATAGTGTGATATGTTCCAACCTGAGGTAAGTCACTATCCAATTAGCAGCGGTCACACTTACTATTCCTTCTCATTTTTCATTCAGACTTCTTATTTTAGACATTAAAATTCTTGAAGATCAACAGATAAAATTTGGCAACTCTACTGTCATTTTGCTTCCTGCATAATATGCAGATAAAATTGCCAAAGTTCTTCTGTGTTAATGATCTGGCACATTGTGAACGACAACTCAGTTAGATATTTAGGAGGGCAGACCCTCCCAAGACAGAACTTTTTCATAAAAATAATTGAGTATATTCTACCAAATTTTTTGGTGCATTTGAATAATAAACTACTAACCGAGTCCACTGATGCAACCAGTGATACAATGATCATGATCATGGAGGTCCTCAAATGGAAGATCGGGATGCCCCACTGTAAGGGGTAAGGGATTCTGACCCATGCAGCAGTTCTCCATGCATTGGAAACATCAGTCCTGCAATGCTTCATGGTATATGCATGCTTTATACATGCATAAGTTAAGATGTTTGAACTAGGTATGTCAGGGCTGCAACCTTTGTAGTCGTATGCTCCACCAGCAGTCAAGAAGGATGCATATATCCATATAATCATAACACTCAGGGGAACCTGTACTTATTGAAAAAATGATAGTAACATGGATTAATGATCACCATAATAACAAATGAACCTCATAACTGTTCTCAGCAACCAAAAGCCGCAACTCAAAGGAGATTTATATTATAAGTATGTTTTTTTCTTCTCACCATGGTTTCTTTCACTCTAATATTGCTAGACTACGAAAAAGGAAACTTTCAACAGGAAGCTTGGCCCATCAGATTTTCCCAATTAAATTTCAGGAATTTAACTACTGTATATATGTTTTAACTGATGACAAAGATCAACATATCTTTGATAAAGGTAAAATACATACAAATAAGTATAACCATTCTGAGGTGCTTTCAAATTGAATCTTGGAAAATAGCAAGAAACCAATTCACTTTGAAAATAATTAAGCCAATGCATGCAAATCACTACAAGTTTTAGTTCCTACTTTTTTAATTTACCTTGTTCATTTCTATGATGGGACTTGGATAATGAGGGCGTAGGAAAAGTGAAATAACATAGCAGTGGATTGAGGAGATGTTGGCAGGAAACTTCCATGGGCTTAGGTTAGGACAGGTGGCGATTGGGGGTTGGGACAGCAAAGAATTCAGTTAGGGAGAGAGAGAGAGAGCTGGAGGATAAAAAGAGAGGGAGAGAGCAGATTAGGGAGAGAAGAATATAGGGAAATTTGGGAGGAGCTAACCCTTGAAGTTAGCAATTAGGGAGGAGCTGGCCCTCGAAGTCTAGCATTGTTTTTCCTTTCATATTTTGATTTTGTCCTTTTGGGTTGATGTGCTAGGTATATTATGTTGTTTGCTACCATTGTTATCAATTTGTTGAATATCAATACACATATCTATTTTCTTCCTATTTCTTGGCTGTTATTATTTTACTGTTTTGTTGAGTTTTGGGAGTGGGTTCTCATCAATTTCTTAAAGGCTCAGCAACTCTAACTGACGTATGGGAACTTCTTAGTCTAAAGAAGATGAATTAGAGAGAGAGTTACAGCTTTTTGTTGTCAAACAATATAGCTGAACATAAAATGATTAATGTATGCAGAAATCTTTATGGTCATTTGTTCTGAATCCCAGGTCTATCTGGCAGAACAGCATGCTAACTCCTCTTACACTGACCAAAGTTCTTTTGAAGTTTCAAGGAACGCCATGATCCACTACTGCCCCTATAGTAGCAACGCACTGGTGTAGGACAGGGAGAAGATAAGAAAAAAAATATAGAAAAGAGTTGAAATTAGAAAGAAATAACTCTCTGAATCTGGTGCTGCATCACCTCCAAGCCAGATTGACAAATTCCAGCAATTTTGCTGAGACTTAACACCAAAAGCCACCATTGCCAACCCAATCTGCAGGAAGTGCAATGCCATGCATAGATGTAGTAAATGTTATTCCATTGATCACAAGGTAGACTCACGAACCAACTATTGTTTTAGTTGGCTCATCTGACAGCCAAAGAACACTGCCCTACACCACCAAGGCTGAGAGCATGGTAGAGTGACTTATGATATACCAATGAATACTAGGGTGAGGTTCATGCGGCCATCAGCCAATATAAAAGAATCTTGTTGCCCAATATGTTGCATCATTTTTAATACACCAAAGAGGGGTGGAATGAGATTGTGTTGCCACATCCTAAAAATTAGGTTAAAACACTGAGATTTCTCACAACATCTATGGCAATAATGATCCTAAAAATCAAGGAGTATCTAACTATTGATGGCTATCTAACCATTGATGACAATCAAAATGACAGGTGCAAACAGATAGGTAATTGTTCTTTATCCCACAGGGAGGTTGACTAGAGTTTCTCAACATTGAAGGGTAATATTAAACTGTACAAGTAACTTTTGTGACATCAACAGGTTTAAACTAAAGATACATACCGCATAAATTCGGAACAAACGATGTCCAAAGACAGATATTCCTCTCAGGTACTGAAAAAGAAACAAAACGTACAACAATAAGTTTTCCAGATACTTTGTGATATAGTTCAAATAAATAAGAGGCCAAAAAATCGACAAAAGTCTTGTAAATGAAAAATGTTAGAGAAATGAGCAAATATCTTCTGCACCGAATAGATCTCACAAATGCATAGTCATACTTTGTACCAAAACTCTATATTTAGATTAGTTCATCTTCTCAGGAAAATGCTTACTAGGGTAAATACAAGGACCAACAATATCTGGGGAATGCTAATTTCCACACAACTTCCTGCTTGTGAAAAACCATAGCTAAAAAATGCTAAACCTACTGCAGCGACAGTTGGTGCCACCACAACAGGGTTAATCAATCTGCAAAACAACATAATATAGCAAGAAAAGAATTAAAACAAATTTAATAGCTTGTGAAAGTACTTGATATGCTGCTTTAGACAATGATGATTCAGTTTCATTAATTTGTCTTGAAAATTACTGATGAATCATACAGAGGAAGTATGGTATCAGTTACTACAGAGCACTGAATACTGTAATATTCTTTCCATGGAAATTTCTATCTGTTATGATCCCACTGCATCTAAATTTGAAAGAATCTGAAGAGAATACAATTCTGGAAAGTTTAAGGAACAAGGAAACCTAATAGGTCAAGAATATGTTAACGAATATATTCTTCAAATCACCACCATACCACAGTAAGAATTGGAATAAAGAAAAATAGACATTTCTAGATAAATAGCAAGACAACATAGGAGTAGCTTCACTAATGCATAGTGATCTGCTGATTTTTCCATTAGATGCACTGATACTGACAACACATGGAAAATTATTTCTGGAAACCTCTTAATTACCTTAGGAGAAGGGACATTAAACCAGTGAATCCCAATATACTTTGGAATATTGAACCAACAATTATAGCTCCTTGTAGTTCCCTCATAATATGCCTAAATTTCTGCAGTAAAATAAGCATGCATCAATCTGAAACTAAGAAGTTTAAGTTAACAGAAAAAGAGAAAAATACCATTCATGATCACAATGCTCTTAATTCATCAAAAATGAGTCATTATATTCATTCTCATGAATGAATCTAAGAGGATTAACGTCACAGATTATGGTACAAATTTTAAATTCATATATTTTATAGCAAAACTTATTATAGCCTGAAATGCAGAACCACTTTCCCTGATTTGGAATATCAAAAGCATTTGTGATAAAGTTAACTTAACCCATAGACAATCAATATTACAGTTATTTGTCAGTTAACTTAACCCATAGACAATTACTATTAAAATTATTTGTCTAACTGAACTTACATGTTCTGTGAGATTCCGATACTCACGAGCATTTATTATAACTAGTGCCGGAGCCAAATACACAAATGAGCTCCCTTGAACTAATGGAAGACGGGTACCAAAGTAGGAATGCAATATTGTTGAAACTCCAGTAACCAGCAGCATTGTAGAAATCAATGTGGCAGTATCTTTCTGTCATCAATCAGGTGAAAATAAAGGTAGAAATGAATAAATAACTGTCAACTCCCTTCCTAAACTGTATCACATCAGATTATCCATAAGAGAAGATTCTTACATCTGTTCCACCCATGGCTGGTACAATAATCAAGGGGATGAAAATAAGTGAACCAGCCAAAGATAAAAAGTGTTGGAGACCGTAGTATATGAGTGGTACTGCAGTAATATAAAAATCAAATAACAGTGAGGAAAAAAGAACTAATTTTGCAAGTTGATTGAAGTCTTCAACACAATCAGCATAGAGTCACAGATTTAAGAAATTTATGAACTGTGAACATGGAAGTAAATGTAGCTTTCACAATGAAAAGTCATACATAGAAAGTTATTAATGCGGATCATAACCAAATATGAATTAATGCGAGAATACACGGCTATAATTGCTCTATCAACTATAATACGTATTATAAATAAATAAGGATACTAGAAGACCGTTCTTATCAGATTGACACATGAGCCATCAATTACAAGCATGAATTAAAAAGAATTTAACATTCCTGATCTACATAGGGAAGTATCATGCACAACATGGATAAACTCTGTATATCACTTTGTTTTACATTAAAATTAAATTTTTTTCTTTGGCACGTCTTTACTTGCCTATTATTTGCTTATTGCAGAACCAGCCTATCAATATTCATCACGGTTCGTCTCACTCAAAAGAGAAAAAATATACAAGGTTTGATTCTTTCTGTATTAGATCTTCAACTAACATAATTCTCTCTTACTCTTTACCAACATCCACATCCATAGGCTGCACTAACTTGCTTACTTACTAATAGTCCAACATCTGCCACACTCCGTACCATATAAACTATAACATCTAAGCTTATACTTCACAGTTAATCAACAATTTAGCCACAGAACCAACTAGAACTAACAAACAGCAACCAAAATCTTAAATACAAAGAGACACCATTAAAATAAACTAAAAGGCAAAGAAAATAATAAATAAATAAATAACACGAAAAACTAACCGAATCCTGGATTGTCCCTCAGTCCAAATCTCATTTCTGATTGTCTATGCCACCCTTCATCAGCAGGCTCCTGACCACCGGGATACATATAAATTTGCTCATCTCTTTCAACTTTTTCTTCCTCTTTCTTAGTTTCAACTGGATTAGCTACATGAACCTCAATTCCATTACCATTAACAGTCCCATTTCTATCTCCATTTACATTCACATTCCCATTCAACCTCTCATCAACTTTATCCTCCAAAATAGCCTCATCTCTAATCCTCCTTCTCTCCTTCTCACCACCTCTGACACTTCCATTATCTCTAAACCCCAAAATTCCACCATTTCTACCATTATCATTCCTCCTCCCATCAGGCCCAGAGCCATTTTCAGCTTCGATTTCGGAGCCTCTATTGGGCCTAGTTCGGCCCAAAATAGGATCAATTTCAATCTTAGGTGAAGACCCTCCTCCTCCCCTACCTTTCTCTATATCAAAACCAGCACTATCAAACTTGTCACTAACACTTGTAGTTGTTTCTCCAGAGAAAGTTGAAACAAAACCAGTTTTTTTAGCCCAAGATCTCAACTCTCTCGGATTATGATCGGTTTTTCGCACGAAAGGCTCGATATTTGGCAACATAGAGCCCAGTCTGGTCCTGGCGCTACGACCCTTTTGTCTCTTGTGCCCTTCTACGGAATCTGAAGTCGACCCAGGTTCCATTTCAGCTTTCTCTCAAATGGGTATGAGCTCTTTTCCCAGAAAAAGGACAAATGAAGAGCAAGAAAGAGTAGAAGAAAGACGAATGTGGAAAAAAAAAAAAAAAGAAATATAAAATGAAGAAACAGTAGAGTTGAGGGAGAGTAGAAGGAAAGCAAGAGTGGATGAGTAAGTAAAGAGGTGTCAGGGAGGAGTGAGACAGATCATCATTGTTATTGCAAGAAGTTAAAGCTTTGGTATGTGAGAATGGTGATTGGTGAGAGAGTAGAGTGAAGTGTTTTTCTGAGATGGAGCTTCGAATTCAGGCATCTTTCATTTATCGTTTATTATTATTATTTTTTTTAATTTTTGGCCTTGTTTTTTAGTGTACCTTTTTTTTTATCTACATCACGTCATTACCTCTCTAGATGTAACTTTCATGCAAGTTGGAATTACTTTAATACCCCTCACTGGCCGTTATAATGACGAGTTAATTCCCTTTCTCCCCCTAGAGTTTCCAGATCCTACATTTCAAATACTAAGAAACTGCTCCACGAAACTAACTAGTTGATGTTTGTAAATTCTGTTAATTAAAACTGAAATGACAAAAATACCCCCAAATGATGATGTTAAATTAAATATTTTAAAATTATGTGAAACTTATATATTTAATAACTTGATTGTGCAATTTATTTATTAAGGTTATGGATTTTTCAAAATAATTGTTTAGGAGTAATTTTGTTAATTTAGTTTTAGTTAACTTTTTTGACTAACCTCCGTTACAATCAGGGGGGAGTTTTCTAGTAATTGAAATGGCAGGACTAAAAATAGAAGGTTGATTAAGTATTTATCACTTATAATGACTCATGTGGAATAGAGTAAACGACATGTTCCCACCCAAGGTTTGACGAAATCCCAAGTTAGTACCACTGGTTTCATTTATTCCAGATTCCCACCCTTAAAGTGACGGAAAAACGTTTGATGTAATGGTAAAGGGGTAAATTAGTCATTTTACATGGACGGCGCACGTTAGCAGACCACCGCCTCTAACACTCCTCCGGCGCACGTTAGCAGCCGTCGTTCCCGACGTTTTTCGCTCTTTTCCGGCGATTCTTCCACCCAAAATCACCCTAGTCACCACCATTTGAACCCCCATCCTCCCCTCTACAAAACCATACCATTCACAACCCCTCATCACTCGCCGATCTCCGGCCACGACAACGAAAAAGGGCCGATGAACACGAACTCTCGGCCGGCGAATGACGACGAAACGGTTGCTGGGGACATAGGGGTTTTATAGATTTGGGGACGGTGGTTGCATTGGTGGTGTCCAATTGGATTTTCACCGCCGGAATCGACCGGAATCCGATGAAGAACACCGAAACCCTAAGCCTAACGGTGCCGACGATTGGAGGGGCAAATGAGTCGGGAACCAGAGGGGTTTTGGACGACGGACTATGGGGAAGGTGATGGAGGTGATCAGGGGGTTCGACGTCGTCGGAAACAGCCCAGATCGGGTTGTTTCCGGTGAGGCTGTATAGTGACCGAGGGTGTTTTTGATATAATTTGAAAATAAAATGGTAAGTTTTGTAATTCTATTATTTTAGGGGTTAAAACATAATTTTAATTAATTTAGGGTTAAGGGCATTATGGTAATTGTACCATTTAAACCCTAAAAATTCATAAAACTGTTACTTTAAGGGTGGAAATCTGGAATAAATGAAACCAGTGGTACTAACTTGGGATTTCGTCAAACCTTGGGTGGGAATATGTCGTTTACTCTGTGGAATATGATAGAATTGACCATTGAGGGTGATGCTACAACAAACCGCTATCTTAACCTTTTTTTTTTTTTTAAATAATATTATAAAGTTAATAAGAATTCTATTATAAAGTAGAACTGTCGAATTTAATTGATTTTCTTAATTTTAGCGAAATTAGAAAAAAACTTATTTAATTTGAAAAATAAGATAGAATTTCTCAATTAACAAAATTTAAAAAAATATTTATAATTATTTTATAATCTTAAAAGAAGAAAATGCAATAAGTTGTCCTATATGATTGATAATTTGGGTGGTATGGTTTTCTTAATTTTCAAGGTTGTGTAATGTGTGGTTTAGTGGGAGGTTGATTTGAAAGTGATTATGATAATGATAATATCATGTTTGATAAAAAAGGAAGAGATGGGTCCTTAAGAAATTGATTACCACAAGAAATGTGAGGACCTTTGTGTCACATTTAATTGGACCTCCATTTATAAATTAATTAAATTATAACTTGTTGAATGATTATTTAGTTGCATATTCTTTAGATAGAGATAAGATTCATAGTTGATGCTTATGTTTGCTTTGCTTTGCTTTATTTTTTATTATTATTGCTTTAGCATTAAGATGAGAATTAGGAGGTGGGTCTCCTTCAAATTAAATTATTTGAGTCTAAATAATTGAAGGTCAAAATCTTATGTTAAAGTTGTTCTCAAGGAAACCTTTTCATACTCATCTTTTATTTTTAGACCATTCTACAAAGGTAGCGTTTGGTTGGCAATATTATAGAATTGAGAATATTATATTAATAGAAATATAGATTATCTTGAAAATTAATGAAGAATGTTATATTAATGTATTTGGTTAGATTTGTGTGTATAAATAATTAATATGTTTGGTTGGGAGGAATAAAATATTATCAAAGAGGCTGTTACTGAATTGTCCTTCCTTCTTCTTCTTCTTCTTATTATTATTATTATTATTATTATTATTGTTATTGTTGTTGTTGTTGTTATTGTTGTTGTTGTTGTTGTTGTTATTATTATTTAGAGTACATTTGAGAATTGAATTAAAACACCCCAACCACAATAAAAGTTTAAAATTTAACAAAATACCCCTAACCACCGAAGATGACTGTCGGCCACAGGCCACTATCGCCGACCAATAGTCGTCTTTAGTGACTAGGGGTATTTTGGGTATTATTGATGTAATTAGTGAGGGGCATTTTTGTTTCAAAAATTAATTTATGAGGTTACATAAGTCATTTTGCACATTTGGACTAATTATTATTTGGTAGATATATAAGAGCATTTGTGTCCAAAATATTTATTAATTAAGGATAAAATTGGTGTGAACAGTAAATTACCTCGATAATAAAAAAATAACAACAGTCGGTAATTGGATTACCTCCCATATTAGTTACAGTAATCATTATTGGTATTGAAAGATTTTTTATTACTTAACAATTAAATATAGTAACGTCTGAATTAAGAGATAGATTACTAGAGTTATCTTTTTATTACCTCGAACCAAAGGCTACCTTCACATTATGTTTGTTTGTTCCATATAAGATTGATTGAAACCAAGTCATAGTCCGTAACAACTTCAATATAAGACTACTAATTTTGGTTGTTATTGTTAATTATTGCCATTGTTCAAGCCAGATGAAATCAGGGCCTTACACGTGTATCTTCTTCGTAAAATTATTCTGGAAAAAGAAATGATGGCTTGGCAGGTAAATTAATTAGTAGTTAGTTCTTTTGGCATAATCATAATTAAGGTTCAATTTGGTTGCCGTAACCCGTAAACTCGAAGGGTTCATCATCGGTCCCTTAGTGGGAATTGAATTAATAATAATATAATCTAAGATCCTTTCCGTTAAAGTGTCAAATCTTCTTTTTTTAATTGTCCAACACTACAAATCGTACATCTAAAGAGCCAACAAAAAAGGTTAAACTTTTGATACCATACTCTTTCTTTATGATTCAACACCCTTACTTCTAAGGCAAATTAAAACCTAAAATCCCCCAAATTGTCTCATAAGCCAAATCAGCTTGGAAACAGTGGATGTCATAGCTCGATACTCAGCTTCAGAAGAGGACATAGAAACTGTAGCTTGACATTTTGATTTCCAAGATATCAAAGAATCCCCTACGAAGATGCAAAAGCCAATGACTGATTTGCGGGTCAAGAAGCAAGATGCCCAATCAGAATCACAAAATGATTTGAGATGAAAGGAACCATGAGCAGGAAATAATAACCCTAAGACTAGAGATCCTTTTGACATATTTGACAATGCGTAAGGCAGCATGAAGATGAGAGTGCTTAGGCTTATGCATGAACTGGCTAAGCAAGTTTACAGCAGAACTAATATCTGGACGTGTGAGACACAAGTTGAGTAACTTGCCAACCGATCTCTGATAGACTGCAGGATCATCTAAGGGTAAATCTTGCTGAGGTGAAACTTGTGTTGCTGGGAAGGCTTTATTAAAGCCCACAGTAGTGAACTTGAACTGGGGATCAAGAGGGACAGAAGTTGGTTTGGCAGCAGCTAATCCAGAGTTTGCAATTAACTCCAAAGCATATTTCCATTGACAAAGGTAAATCCCCTTAGAAGAGCAAGCAACCTCAAAGCCTAAAAAGTATCTTAGAGAACCTAAATCTTTAAGTTTAAAGTGAGAGTGCACGAGAGCCTTAGTTTCCGCAATCAACACATTGTCACTGCCAATGATGCCCATGTCATCAACATACACAAGAAGGAGTACAATCTAACTATTATGTCTCTTAAAAAAGAAGAAATGATCTGCCAGAGATTGATGGAAACCACCAAACAGTAAGGCATTGGTGAGCTTAGTGTTCCAGGCCCTGGAAGCCTGCTTCAAGCCATACAATGACTTATGAAATTTGCATACTAAGGACTTATTATGAGAATTGGAGAAGCCTTGTGGTGTATGCATGTAAATGTCCTCTTGAAGGTCTCCTTGGAGGAATGCGTTGTCAACATCTAAGTGAAATAATGACCAGTTTTTCATAGAAGCAATGGCCAAAATCAACCTTATAGGCACCATCTTCACCATTAGAGAGAATGTCTCCTCATAGTTAATTACAGCCTACTGTGTAAAACTTTTGGCCACCAACCTGGCCTTATATCTCTCTAAAGTTCCATCAGCATGATATTTGAGTTTGTAAACCCATTTGCACCCTATTGGAGTCTTTCCCGTGGGCAGAGGAACAAATGACCAAGTACCATTTCTTTCAAGGGCCTAAAGTTCTTGTTGCATGGCTGCAATCCAGTTAGGATCCTTGGATGCTTGAGTAAACGAAGTAGGCTCAGAGAGAGCTGAAATACTGGACAAGCAGGTCTGATATGCTGGTGACAGATTGACATATGTGAGATAATTGTGAATAGGGTATTTTAAGAGGCTAATCTGATCAGAGTTGGGCAAAGTAGGACACACAAAGTCAATGGTCCAAATGGGAGGCCTAGTAGTCTGCTAGATCTCCGAAATTGAGGATGAGATGATGGAGGTGTGGGAGATATATTCTGGACAGAGGAATGTGCAGTGGGTGCAGGAGAGGTTGAGGAGCTAGGTAAAGTTGAATCTATGTTAGGTAAATTATGATGAGGAATATGTGAAATGGAGTATTAAGGAAGGTTCTTATTCCATAAAGGTAGTAGCAAAAATGTCAACAGGAAAAGCAGCTTTAGGGGGCTGTTGTAATGAGAAAGGGAAAACATGCTCATGTAATAAAACATCTTTGTTAACATAAACGGTTTGAGAAGCCAAATCATATAGAATATAACTTTTTTTTGTGGATGAATATCCAAGGAAAACACAGGGTATTGATCTAGGAGCAAACTTGTCCTGAATAGGCAGATTGGAAGCAAAGGCCAAGCAGCCAAAAACTCTCAAATGATCCAAATTGGGCTTATGACCATAAAACTTCTCAAAAGGAGATAAGCCATGTAAAACTTTGGTAGGTAACCGATTGATTATATACACAACAACTTTGACATCATATCCCTACAAGTAATCAAGGATGTGAGATTGAAATTTGAAGGCCTTAGCGATGTCAAGAATATGTCTGTGCTTGCGTTCTACCACTCCATTTTGCTGTGGAGTATAGATACAAGTGCTTTGGTGTATAATCCCTAAGCTAGACAACAATTCATGACACTGATTATTGAAGAATTCTGTGCCATTATCAGTTCTAACATACTGAGGAGTGTGATGATATTGGTTCTGAACCATTTGTAAAAAATTATTCAAAGTCTGGAATACATCAGACTTGAACTGTAGCAAAAAAAGCCATGTGATTCTAGTGAAGTCATCTATCACAGTGAGAAAGAATTGTGCATTACCTTGAGTGGCAATCTTGTAAGAGCCCCAAACATCCAGATGCAACAGTTCAAAGGCATGAGATGTGGCTGTGTTATTGGTAGAAAAGGGTAATCTGTTATGTTTGGCTTAAGGACAGGTTTCGCAATAGAACTTGTGATGATTGTTAAAACCATGATGCAATTCCTACAAAATTAATAAAGGAGCATGTCCTAATCTCCTATGCCAAAGAACAACATCCTTACTTTGAGACAATGTGTTTATTGAAGAAACAGTAGCTACATTGAGAGATTTGCAAGCTATTTCTTTATTACAATCAGAAACATTGATTCCCAAATTTTTACTTAAAGTTGAAACAAAAGCGGGAAAAAAGGAGTTGATTTTCGAGATTGGCATGAAGTGATATAGCCCCTAGTATTGCTTACCAATCCCCTTCAATTTGCCACTCCAAAGATCTTGGATCACACAAAAATCCAGATAAAATGTGACAAAACACTGACTATCAGAGGCTAACTTAGAAATTGATAGCAGATTGTACTTAAAATCTAGTATGTATAGGACATTCTGCAGTGACAAATTTTCTTATAAGCTGTCAGGACCAACATGTTGAATTGATGTTTTTGTTCCATTTGGGAGACTAACATAACCAGGTATAGATGGTTTATTATCAACACAAGATGCAAAATTTCGGATACTATGAGTCATATGGTTAGTGGCCCCTGAGTCGAATCCAATTATCAATAACACCATAGTTTGAATATAGGGAAACAATTTTACTTGCCAGATTAGCTGATGGTGTTCCTAAGTTCTCCTTGCTCAGCAACTAAATCAATTGAGCATACTACTCTAGAGTCAAAGCATTGCCTAAGCTAACTCCTTCTTTGCTACTGTCAGTTGCTGATTCAGTGTGTGAAGCTGATTCTTGACTTGAATGAACTTGATTGGCTTTAGCTTTTGATCCTGACTTGTTCTTGGTAAACTGAAAATCTGCTGGATATCCATGCAATTTGTAACAACTATCCTTCTTGTGTCCTGCTATGTGGCAGTAATCACATTCAACATAGGGCTTCTTCCCTTTATATTTCGAACTCTGAGTCTGATTTCTCTTATTCCCTTGTGAGTAAAGTGTTGTAGTAACTTCAGTGTTCTGATTAAATCCAGTCAAGACCTTTTGACTTTCATCTTGACTTACTATTGAGTAAGCCTGTTTGACAGAAGGGAAGGGAACCGTTAACAGGATTTGGCTTCGCACCAATGCATATGAGTCATTAAGTCCTATTAGGAATTGTAGTAGTTTTTATTGGTTCAGATGTACCAAATAGGCTTTAGTTGATTCACTATCAGGTGGTGGCAAGCTTACCAATGAGCTGAGTTCATCCCATAGAGTTTTCAGTTTGTTGTAATACACTGCAACCGAGTGAGTTCCTTGCACCATGTTAACTATTTCTTTGTGGATACCAAAGACTCTTGTGCCATTGACCTTGTTGTATTGTTCTTGAAGATCTTGCCAAACCTGACTTGCACTAGTAGAGTATACAATGCTATTGAATATTTCTTTTGAAACAGTGTTGAAAATCCAAGCTAACACCAAAGAAGTACAACGTTCCCACTGTGCATGCAAAGCTTGATTGAAACTTGCCTTCTCACAAGATCCATCAACAAAACCTAATTTGTTTTTTGCTCTCAGAGAAACGGTCATCGCACGACTCCAAATTCCGTAATTCTCTATTCCCGTAAGCTGCTCTAAAATAAGAACTAATCCAAGGGTATCTGATGGATGTATGTAGAGTAGTGAACTTGAGTCAGGAACATTCGACATTCTAAGATGAATTAATTTCAGCTTGTGCAAGAATTCAGCTGAATTAATAACAAATTTCAACTAAAGAACAACTGAATGAAATTATTCTATTGATTTTGAGATTCGGAGAGATGAAGAAGTAATGAAGAAACAAAGTTGATTTTAACTTGAATCTTCAATCGAAGCTACTCATTTTGCAGTTGAAAAAACACTGCTCTAATACTATAAACAATTTGTATTTGAGAGGAGAAATTTTATTCAGCTTGAAAAAAATAGTGTACAAGACGTTTATTACAGTTTATATATACAAGTAACCATGGTTAGCTAACTATAGTTAATTAACCACAACAACTAACTAACTATTTAACTAATTGACTAACTAACTAACTGATTAATTAACTAACTAAAACTGATTATACTAATAATCCAATATGAAGCACATTTACGGGTTAAATATTAAAGTACAATCAGGAAAATCAGGCATGGCATATCTAAAAGAGAAATTATTGTAAGAGTTATAATACATACACTCACTTGGTGTCTGTATGACTGCGAGTGCATGTGATGGAATTAGTGTGTGCAGGGGTGAGCGAAAGAGAAAGAGGACAGAGTTGTTAATCAATCAGCTAAATGAAATTGCAACCCCCCTATCTTGACATTCACCAAGATTACTTTCCATGCTTACTAAAAATGTGGAGCCATGACAAAAGATTCCACAAAACTAACTATACCTAAGGATCATTCAAGACTGTAACCGACATCTCCTGCCCATATACCCATCTTACAAGAGGATACAAGCTTTAAAGCCAGTTTCTGAAATAACTAGAAACACCAAACTATGCATTTCACCAACACTTGTTCTCTGTATGTTCAAAACTGGGAGACAAAAAGAAAAAAGTATTAGGACCAAGTTCAAGAACCGATCAGGTTTTTCTGACTCCAATGATACACAAAAATCATGACAGTGCGATTTTATTCAGATACAAGGGATGTGCTATTCTAAAAACATTAGACAGTTTCAATTAATTTAGCATTACATAACTCATTTGTTACTTTATCAATCTTGCTAGTAAAAGTCACGGAATTGACCATAAGAAGTTTTATGTCAAAGGATTAAGACAAAAAATATCGTGGATGACTCTAGAGTTCCATAAGTCAATACTGTTCCCCAGTTGTACTACGTTACAAACAATCACTTTAAGACGTACCATTTCCAAATGAGGCCCTTTAGCACTAATAAATGTCACACAGTTTATTATGAATCTAAATACCATTTCACTCTTATTTAAGGAGAATACAAATTCATGCTAGTTTTGATCACCCACTACCTAAAAAATGCCACTGTTTAAAAGAAACAGCCCATCTTCAACCAAAAAAGAACACTCCCAAGTTACATGTAACTGCAATGACTTGTATGGTTATATAACACAAAGTTTTAATCAACAGCCTAGACACCAGGGTCATCAGTAAAATACTTCTTTCATTATCTGCCAAGACAGATGGGAAAGCTGAAATTACTTCGCAATGCCATAGTTTCCCAGGCTTTCTGTCACCACCACATAGAGTGAAAAGCAATTTCAACCTAAAAAGAACCCCAATGATCAGCAATAATTCCAAAAGCATTATATTACCAACAATAGTTTCTAACATTCTATGATTCCAAGACAACTTGCTCCTTATGCTGCAGTTGTCTTCAATAACAGATGTTTCTTCCTTGATTACAGTTCAACCAAATTTACCATAAACTTGGAACATTCACAACCTACGAATCTGCTTTCCATCTAAATTATTAAATTAGCAAATCTTTGTTCACCTATATCACATTCTTCCAATCCAATCACATCAAATACAAATCCCACACAACAAAATTTATTTATTTTTCCAATTAGCAGGGAAGAGAAAGAACAATAACTCAAACATTATGAACTCAGAAACCATGTTCCATTATAAACTTATCTTTTGCCCGAACAATAACTCAAACAGTATGAACTCAGATACCATGTTCCATTATAAACTTATCTTTTGCCCATTACCCATTATGTTATTGGAAGGCCACTTAATGCCCACTTTAACTCACACTAACCTGACTTATTTATGCAATGAAAGACCCTGTTGACACCAGCAATTCATATATTCTGAAAAATTCTCTCAAAAGTGAAAGCTCGATCCATAACTATAATCTCAATTAACCAATCCAAGTGCGCTTCATAAACGTTCTTTTTGCCACTCTTACCTTTAAGTATCAAATGCCATAAATTACAAAAATAAGCATTTCGTTAAATCTTTATCCACTTAGCATTAATAAACAAGATCAAACAATTCTTTACTAATGATTCACTAAAAATATTAATTCTAATCCACATAATTAGCAATTACTCCATTAAGTGCATACTACAGCTTATCAGATATCAATAAATTTAACTTATATTCAACAAATTACTTAATTTTGAACTCATAAAAGAAAAAAAAACCACTAATTACATTAAAGATACAAAAACAAATTTATATATCACTGGTAGTAATTGATTCCTTATAGCCATCAAACATTACAAACAGCAGTTACAGCACAGAAACGACATTCTATAAGAAAAAACGCAAAAACGACATCGACAAGTAGAAGGAAAATCCTATAAGCAAAAGGAATCAGTAAAAATCACCGGCAAGAAAGTCCTATTTACTTCGGAAGCGAAGAGAAGAGCTGTGACAGTTGTTCTTGCTGCTCGCGAAACCGTCGTTTAAGGTAAGTCTCAAGAATCTCCATTACCAAAACGAATCGTTTCATTTCCTCAAGGCGGCGGCTGAGCTCGGCTTCTCGAGCTCTGGCTCGCTCCAGCCGCGCCTCCGTCTCGGCCAGCCGACCATGCAACTCCTCCACTGCCAAAGCGTTGTCATTTAAAGTCCGATGAGTTCTTGAAGGAGTGAAATGGTCCGGTGGTAATGATCGTCGGTGAGGGTGACCGTAACACATGATTCAGATTGATCTTGATGATGATGATGACTGATGAGAATTATCAATTGGCTTTTCGAGAGTAAAAATTTTGGCACTTTGGGGATCAATGATTGTCGGCTTATTAATCTGGGCCGTTGGATCTTAGTACAGTCTACTACCTGTAACATAGTTACAGGTGTAACACTTACCTTGTTTTTCAATCATGATTAAAAGTTTTTTTAATTAATACAAAAATTAAACCAGTAATACTAGGCTTACACCACCATCTCACATCACTCTCTCACGTTATGACGTGGTAAACTGCCATGTCATCTGCCACATCATCAAAAAGTCACACAATTTCTCCCTAGATTATAAAAAGAAAACCCAAAATTCCGGTTCCCCCTAAATCTAATCTCTCTCCCAAAACAAAATCAACGTCAAACTCTTTTTTTCCCCTAAATTAGAAATCTCTCTCAAAGCCCAAAATTTCAATTTTCAATTTACCTAAAACAAACCCCAAATCGATCTCAGTTTCTCCAAAATTTCAACTCTCAATGTGCCTAAAACAAACCCCAAATCGAATCTCAGTTTCTCCAAAATACAAACACTAAAATCTCTCTCCAATTTTCCTTTAAAGATTAGTGAACCTGATTCTTTCTAAGCCCACCACGGTTTCCTCCAATTGCGTCCCCAACGAGCGCTGCACCTGTAAAGTGATTATTTCCCACTTGCTGGGTTCCAAAACGTTGCACCCGTAAGGTTCGGCGTTGTTTATATAATTTGTTATAGTTGTTGTTTGTAGACTGTATTTTTTTGTTTTTTATTTTTATATTGTCTAAATGTTGGGGTCTGGGATCATAATGTTTGCCAGGGAGGGACATCGTTTAGTGGTGATGTCTAGATATACAACTGTTTATGAAATTTCTATAACAAATTCATGTAGAGTCAGAATCATTGCAGCGTCTATCAGCAGATTATTGTGCATTGTTGCCTCCCCCAAGGTCAACTATTGCAGCAGCATTCAACCCTGATGGGAAGGCGCTGGCTTCTACACAGTAACTCAGGATGCGACATGATTTTATCTTTCCTATGCACCTGTATTCGACATGTTCCAAAAAAATCTATTCATATGAAAGCTACAATGGATCACATTTTTGGTAGCTTGCAGTAAATTTATTGGTAATAATGAGCTACTTTCATTTATTCAATTCCTTGTGTACACGGTAAGTAGATAAATTTTTTTAAGCTGACAAGGTAGCTATATACTTTGGATATCCTTTCAATTTGTTCAAGTGACCAAAATCTTCTCTTTCCTAGTGCTTATTAATAGGTTATGTTATCTTAACATGTTCTACATATATAACAACTCACCTAACCATTTTATTTAAATTAGATTACTTGATTCATCTGTCACTATAGCACTATTACGAGCTGTATTTTGCCATCATGTCTCATGAGACCTCAGCCCTTATTCACCTCAATTTTTCAGTTTATTTCTTTAGCTCACCTTGCTGAAATTGATCCTTTGTACTAACCATTCATTATTATTAATTCTGAATGCCTAAACATTTTGGATGAAATGTGCAGCTTTTCCTTGATTGGTACTTCACTTTACTTCTATCACACTCTCTATGTCTTTTCACTTTGCATATGAAGTATGGTTTAGCAATATGCAATTGGTGTGGTTGGGGGTGGTCACTTGAAGCATGATTTTTTAATTGTTCTTTTACTTTAAGTGGTATTGTTTTTAGCTTTTCTTTTTGGTGTGGTTGGGTCTGGAAAGGGTACAAGCAAGTGGAGGGGTTGAGGGTTGCTATGAGTTGGGGTAATCCTTGTTGGGAGGTTGGCTTTTTTTTCTACTGTAGTGGGTGATGTGTCCCATGGCTACTGGCAGCAGCTTGGTTTGGCCTGTTTCCCTTCACTTTTTGTGAGCTGCTGCTGAAGATTTAAGTGGCTGGATTGGGTTTTTGCTTGCTGCAACTGCTTGTTTTGTTTGTCTGGTTTTTTTTTAAGATTGGGCTTCGTTGAAGTCTTGGATTGGTGGCTTAAAAAAGAAAATTAGTTTCATTAGTTTCTAGTTAATAAAGCCTAGTAGTTTAGTAAAGATACAAAAGTAATGCTATCTACAACCGTTCGTATATAGATTAAAGTGCTACTTATTAATTGAGTTAACTTGTGTATTTCACTCTTCCATTATAATTGTGTTACATCAATTTTTATACAATAGTTTGTATAAAAAAAATTTAAGTGTGGTATTATTCTAAATAAAACAAGTTTCTTGAGTTGTGTCCTGGTGTAACTTAATATTAATATCAGAGTCTTCTTTTCTTTTGTTGTGTTTTTACAGGGGGATGTGGTTGATAAGCTAACGGTTCAGATATTCAGGGACCCTCATCTTGAAATTGTCATTTTAACACTATGAGTTTGGGTAATCCTTGTTGGGAGGCTGGCTTTTTTTTTTCTGCTGCAGTGGGTGATGTGTCCCATGGCTGCTGGCAGCAGCTTAGTTTGGCCTGTTTCCCTTCACTTTTCATGAGCTACTGCTGAAGTTTTTAGTGGTTGGATTGGGTTTTTGCTTGCTGCAACTGATCAGAGGAGAGTACTGATACTGATCAAAACAACCAGCTCATCACTTTATTTTCTTACTGCTGTAATGTATGTTGTGTACACATTTTATAATATATGTTGTAATGTATGTTGTGTACAAGTTTTTATAATACAACATTGAGGTTCTATTTCATTATTGGATGAATTTTTTTCTTGGATGTACTTTTTATTTTAAGTTTCATGACAAAAAAATCTAGCAAGTAATTGAAGTCTTATTAGGGTGGAAATAAGAGATTATGAATGCATCATTTAAAGTTTGTAACACTTGTTTTGAATCATCTCTAACTCTCCTATGAATGATTACTTACTATCTTGAGTTAAAAAATCTGCATAAATTTATGACAAGTTACTAAGTACTTTTATTTATTGCAAATCAAACCACAAAACATAATATAGTACAATCAACAAAGATACATTTTTTATTCTCTGCTTAATACAAGAAAACAAAAGAAAGTTTTTACAATTTCTCAACCATCTTCCTATACTCTGCGCACGACCCTAAACAAGCAAGGGACGCCGCCTAACAAAAGAAAGCAAAGGATCCAGAATGTACACCTTTTACACACCCCTTAAACAGCCAAAAGAAACCATATAGGGATGGAAAACCAAAAAAGTCTTTACACAGGCAAGAGAACAGCAGCAGCCACAATTCAAGACCCCAAAAAGCACGTGGAGCAGGAGCATAAAACTGTCCATAAAACAGCAGCAAAAAATCAACTAGAGAAGTGAATCAGCCATAGCCCCACGCTACAAACCACAGCAGCAACAACACAGCAGTAAGAATGGACAGCCAACAGCAAAAAAGCAGCAAGAACAGCCCCTACTGGTAAAAAAAATTGCAGCAGTAAGGGAGAAAATGAGTCTATAGCAACGCACAAAGACCCCAGCGCCAGTTGCCTCAATGCAGCCCTCACCTCCTCCTATAAAGCCAACCACCCCAGCACCAAAAACACCCCCCAATCGCCAATCCCTCTCACTAGCCACACAAACCACACACAAATGTATTACAGCAAGCTTAAATTTAAATCCTCACTTTAATGTATAAGAAAACACAAAAAATGAGGCTTCCAAAAATAAGTGCTGAAAATATTTCTCCCAAATGATCATAAACAATTGTGGGATTGAATATGCCGAACCTGAAAATAAACACAATAAAAGTATAAGCCAATAGCACTTGATGATATTCGCTGATTGATATTGAGTTGCTTTTAGAAACTCATGGTTCCAAGATGTATACTCAGACTTGTCTAGCTTTCTATAAGCAAGTGCCAATGTATGCAACCCAGCTTCTCTATATTCATTCAAGTGCCTAGTAGTAACTTCCTCATACATTCTTCCATTCTTTGATAGCCGATAAAAAATAATGCTGCATATGCCAAGCAAAGAACTCATGCATGGTGGGATACAACAAGATGATTGCAAAAGTTCGAAGATTATAGCTAATATTGACCATTTGCCATTTATAAAACTCAAATGAAACCAGTAACAGCCCCCAGACAGCAGATGGAAGTCATATACACATTCAAGGCCTCTAACAGGAAGCCAAATCTAAAAAAAGTTGTGAGGATAACCTGTCAACGCGTTTGCAGAAGAGAATAATCTGCCCATCCTCATCCCGAACAATTACGCTCATCCGCTTTCTTTTGCTAGTGAAATCCAACAAATTGAGAATTTTGTACTCTCTGCAAGATTCCCAAAAGAATTAAGATGCTATGGCACTAAAAATTCAAGTGAAATAAAAAACTGGAAAAAAAGCTCCACATGGAAAATTATTCATTTATATCCTCACCTTTGAGTTGGCTTTCCTGAAGAATGATATATTTCACGGATAAACACACTGGATTGAGTTCTTTTACAAAACTCAAAACCAAACTCCCTAGCAGCAACAAGAAAAGCCCCTTCATCGGGTGACTCTGCTTCGTATGTGACATCGCCAGTCTCTTCATTATCAGCGAACAACTATATATTAAGGCATTCTGGAGAAGAAGATATCAAGTAACAGAAACCTTGTAAACAGGCCGGTTCCCAGCAGGAGATATTGGGCCCTCAACCCTTTTTCCAGGCAGAAGAAGCTGAAGGGCAGCCTCAAATACTGTATAACAAGCAATTATTTTCCAAGCCGTATCAGTGGGTCTTGGCCATATATCTACAAATCCTTGCAACCTACGGTGGCGGAAGACGAGGAGTCACGAATGATTATTGTCTTCTTGCCGTAACAGTGGGTCTTCTTGTTGTTGGATGTTATCGGACCGCTCAGAGGTCCACTGTATCTGACTCTATTGCTTCCAGGATTGCTGTCTGTCTCCGACCACGATTCGTGCCAGCTGTGATGACTCTCTTGGATTTCCATTTTCAACTTTCTCTGAATATCTTCTCAGGATTTCTTCATCTTATTGGCTCGTCCTGGAATAATGAGGCTCAGCTCATCAAGATAAGTGTACTGGAGAGAAAAAAAATTTAAGAAGAGGAGCTGCACATGACAGTGGTTGAAGATTGATTGTAGGGCAACTTTGAGAGAGATTTCTAATTTAGGGGAAGAAGAGAGTTTGATTCAGATGATTTTGTTTTGGGAGAGAGATTAGATTTAGGGGGAACTGAAATTTTGAGTTTTTTTTTTAATTTTTTTTTTTTTTTAATTTGGGGGAAAATTGCGTGGCTTTTTAATGATGTGAGAAGGTGGTGTAAGCCTAGTATTACAGAAATTAAACATATGTTATACCAGACGAGCTACACTTACATAACTCTTTTACATAATTTTCATTACATTATGATGTGACATATGTTACAATCACATAAATTTTTAATTATTTTTAATTTTTAATATTATAATAAAATTTATGTGGTTGTAGCATATGACATATCATGATGTTTACAAAATGGTGTAAAAAAAATGGTGTAAGTGTAGCATTACTCAATAGCATACTAGTAGACTACCAGTGTCTTAATTCTTAAACAACATTACCACCCTAAAACGGCCTCGTTTTTACCCTGATGTGGGTCATTTTTCTCGAAGGCGGTGCTTTCTTCCTCTTTTTCATTCCTGAACAAAAATCTCTGGCGCTAAAACCCCAAACTTTCCAGAGCATTCATTCATCTACACGAACCAAACCACCGAGCCAACACAACTCAACTCACTGACTCTCAATGGCAACTCAGTCCCGTCTTCCCGACGACACCGTTTTCTACTCAATCTACCCAGACTCCTCCCTCTCCACCTCCTCTCTTCAATCCCTCCACCTCCAAATACTCCACCATCTCTCACCTTTTGTTTCCGATTACATTTGGCAACACCAATCCTTCTCTCTCTCCCTCTCCGATGTTCCCGTCTCTCACCTCAGCGGCCGTCTCCGCTTCGGGGACAACCTCGAAGACGAGTGGTTCACCGTCTTTCTTCTCTTCGAAATCTCTCGCGCGTTCCCCAACTTATCAATCCGAGTTTGGGACTCCGATGGTGAGTTTTTACTTATCGAAGCCGCATTTCACCTTCCTCGTTGGCTCAATCCTGAGAATTCAGAAAATCGATTTTTTATTCGGCGCGGCGATGTTCATTTAATCCCTAAAAAGTCGCTACCAAACCCTAGTTTGGTTGATTCGTTGAATTTTTTGATTAATCATGAGAAAGAATCACGTGCTGCGGAGGCTGTTCAAAATGCGATCAAGAGTAAGATTTCGGAGTATCCCGAGAGAGCAAAAAGGAATATGCATACTGTTGGGGTTAGGGTTCCGGTGTCAGTGGCTGAGGTGCTAAAGCACGAGCCTTGTTTGATTTCGCTTGCTGTGGAGGGGTTTTATGATAGGGATATTGATTCGATGAAGTATGCTGCAAAAATGGAGAGGTTTTTGAGTAAGGGGAAGCAACAAGAGTTGGTTTTGGTTAATGTGAAGATGTCACGTGCAATGTATGCGCAGTTGATGCAGCAAACGTTTCAGGCGCCAAAGTGTTATCCAATGCCCGTTAGGGGTGGTGATGTGACAGGGTATTTGGAGGCGGAGTTGGGGATGAAGATTGCTTGTGGGTTTGAGATGGTCTATTGGATGAGAAAAAAGGAGGGAGACGAAGGGAAGGGGAGTACATGGAGTAAGTATAAGGACAGATTAGAAAAGAGTGGGTATTTTGAAGGGTTGATTCCTGGTTCTAAGGAGTACAAGAGATTGATGGAGAATGCGGAGGAGTATTATAGAAAGAGCAATTTGTTTGTGAGAACCAGGTATGACTTTATTGCTTTATTTTATGATGATTTGATAGTTCAATATGGCTAAAAAGGTAGTTAGTACTGACTTGTGATATAAGCAATTCATGGAAGTCACAGATTTCGTATGTACTATAGAAGAGTGCTAATGGGAACCCTTTGGGGACTAAGAAGCGATACCCTTATAATGGCATAACTTTGTGATGATTGCTTAGTAGGAGCTCCCACCGTTCGTTCTCATGCAGCCTACTTTGTGAATACAATCCACAAGTTTCCTTCTTTCCTGAGAAAGTAAGATTTGGAGGCTCCAGTTTAAGAGTTTTAGGGACTTCTACGTTATTTATGAAATAAAAAATTTGCCTAGTAAGGAGCACCTGCTTGTCTCGTAGAACTATTTTTAAGAAGTTAATTTATCATTGATAATGTTGTGAAGATTCCTTGGTGTTTTTTCTTTTTCTTTTTTGAATGACATTGATTTATGAATTGGCAATAATGATAGTTTCAGTATTCATGGGGTCAGTTGCAAAATAGTTGGTTTTAGTACTGATGGCTTTGGCTTTATAATTGTTGCTTGTTGTTTCCGTTTAGCTTGTGTCACCAAAATGCATCCTATTTTGCAGTGAGATGATGAGTGCTCCAGTGAGACGCATAGATGAGATTCTTGCTTTACCCCATTCAGCTGAGGATTTTAAGGGTCAGAATGTTCCTCCTTCAGATGATGATTCCTGGCTCTATAACGGTGAGGATGAGTTGAACTCTGCCCTTCAAGAGAGACAAAAGGAATTGGAACTTTATAATTCAGAACTCAGGGATAAACAGAAATCGAAAGAGTCTCAGGACACTGGTTCTTCATCTGGGAAAAATTTAGATGATTTCGATCTTGGTGGTTTAGCAAAAACCATGCAGGCTTTTGTCCATAAAGTGTCTAGCTACAAGGGAGCAGAGGTTCCTGAAAATAGGTTAATATATCTTTATATTCATCGGAATCTTCTTCATATTTTGTCACTCTTTGTACCATTATTACACACAGAACACTCACACACACAGAGATGGAATGCAAGATTTTGCTTTGCTGTTGGTGTCCTTTCTCTTATGTTGAGTATGCTTGATCTCATCGACATCTCATTTGTTTCTCATAGTTAGCATTTTAACCTCCAAATGCAGCATCTGATCTATTTTTGATCTTTACTTATTGAAGGAATCTTGAAGAAGTTGATATTGATGTGGATCGTTTTATCAAAGAAATGGAATCTGTAATGAGGCATCAAGGTTCTGAAGAGACTGCTAACAATGCTGATTCTGACAAAGGGTCCTCTTCAGACATGGATTTTGGTAAACATCATTTGAAATTATAAATCGTTATATTTACTGCAGAAATTATGTTTGTTTAGGGCAGAAGAATAAAAATTTAAAAAATCTTTCTTTAAATCTCTCTTGTTCTAATGGACATTTCTGACAATATGGAAATGGTTCGAACTTTCTTAGAATAGCTTGGGCAATTGATTGATTGCCAAGGTATTGAGGTAAATTATCTACTGAAAACCTGTTATTACTATCGTGATCTCCAAATCTTAAGTAACTGCAAACTTGGCGTAGCCCTTATGAAAGCAATATCACAAACAAGATGATGCTATGTACAGTAAGTTGATCTTTCACATTTATGTTTGTGGTAGCAGAGAAGCTGATGAGTAAATCAATTATGATGAGTGTACTTCAAAGTTTATAATTGTAGTTATGCACAGGAATGAAACACACAAACAATTATCACTTTTGTGAAGCATGTTGCTTTTATTCTTTGATGTGTTTTTACCAGTACTTTCTTAAAAAAAATGATTAAGAGATTTTGCTGAAACTGAAAGTTCATGCTAAAATTAATCTCAGGCCTGGATGTTTGTGTTATAGGGCTCTCAAGCTGATGCCTCTAATTACCTAAAACTTTAACTTTGCCTTTTAAGATTTACTAATATTAAGCTGCCTCCTTTCCATACTTCCCTATTAATATATACAGACATGCATGCTATTGACCCTTGCTCTGGTCAAGCATTGAGCTTGCTACTATTGCATGAAAAATTTGCAGCTCTTTTTTATTTGTACATATTGCGTACTTTATTGTTGGCGTTCTTATGATTTTGTTAATGAAATTCACAGATGAGTCTGAAGATGGGAGTGATATGGCTGATGAAGATAATGATGATGGAGAGGATGGTTTCATGCATTCATATTCAGATGCTTTGGACAACGAACTGAAGAGAACCATCCTTAAGAAAAGTTTTATACATGCAAATGAAGAATCTTCCAAGAAAATTGAGGTACTCTTTTGTCTCTGCATGGGGAGAGTATGTTACGAAGTTTATGTTGCATACCAATTGTGATTTATTTATGTCATGGTCTATTCTGAAACATACATGCTTTCTCTTGAAGGTCTTCTGGGTGCTAGAAATATAGCACAGTTAATTTTGATTCTTGCATCGTATTTCTGTACTTGTTACAAATGAACCAGCGAGCATGTCAATTCTAGCTGAAGAGTAATTATGAATGTGTACATGTACACTCTGTATATTCTTGTCAAACCATACTCTCGTTTCCATTTGAATGGCTTTATTTTTACAGAACCCTTTTCTCTTACTTATTTCTGTGAAAAAATTTATTTTCCATAGCAATTGAAGCATGAGTTTATGGATGCAGGGAACATCGAATGGCGCAGAGGATATGGATGAGGAGTTTAGTCCTGTGAATGTGGATGTGAACCTGGTGAAGAACCTTCTTGATTCGTTTTCTTCGCAACAAGGTCTACCTGGGCCTGCTTCCAATTTGCTTGGGCTCATGGGTGTAAAACTCCCACATGATGATAACAAGGGCAAATGAATTTTCTTAACTTTTCATCTTCCTTTTTCCAATTCTGAATTTGTTTAAGTTAGCCTCCATATAATAGTATTGTACATAGTATTAACTAATTTTTGTTTATTTAATTTTTATCACATGCTTGAAATTTGTTGTATACTGAATGTGTCAGACCGTAGTTAATATGTATATAGAATATTAGATGAAGAACTTAGTTGGAAGGGGGCGTTTGGTTGGGGGTAATGTGGGATTACTAGGGTTATGTCATCTTATATTACTTGATTATCATTTTTGGTTGTCAAGTAATATAAGGTTTCGGAATTTTCAAATACCAATAGTAGTTATTGTTGGTAATATTGGAGGTAATTTGATTACTTCTATTTTCTTATGTATTATAAGATATCTAGGGTAATCTTTTTTTTGTTACAATTTTATCTCTTATTAATAAAATTTAAAGACAATAATGCCCTTATTTTTAAATTTATTTACATGAATGTTGTTTTTACTATTTCACCCTAATTAAATATTTTTTTTGACAAAATTACCCTTGAATTCAAAACAAAATGCAATCCGCTCAAGCCACCACCCCCACCACCTACTGTTGGCAACCACCATCATGGCTAGAAGCTGTCGCAGTCGGAACAGCGTACAAAAGGTTGAAAATGGTCGTCGTGCGTTGATATGGCCATTTTCGGTCAGATATCTGGCTGGAAATGGTCAGATCGTGCCTAATCTGGTCGTCAAAGGTCAGATCCGTCGATCTGATAGTCAATGGCTAGATCGATGGTCGTCAATTGCCATCGATCTGGCTGTCGACGACCTAATTGATGGCCGTCTAGTCATTTTCTACCAGATTTTTGGTTGGAAATGGTCATACGACGCATGGAGGCCATTTCTTGCCTTCCGTGCGTTGTTAGGTTGTCGACAGTAGCTGGGTTGGTGGGAGTGCTTTGTTGATTTTCCAAATTTTTATTATGGGGTTGTTTTTGCTAAGTTTTTAAATGTAAGGGGTTATAATAATTAATATTAAAATAATATAATTATAATATTTAATTAGAGGACAATTCAGTAATTTAAATAACATACCCACTAATTTATTTCTTCAAATCAAACATATTAATATAACACACTCACCAATTAACTAATCATATTTTCTTAAAGATTCTCAATAATCTTTGGTAATTTAACTTTCTAGTAATCCAATATTTTCAATAATGTAACATTCTCTTAACCAAATGCTCCTAATAATTTTTGTTATACAAGTTTTATTGGAAATTCAAATTCCTACGTTAACTGTCAAAGTGGAAGTAAAGAAAAATATATATTTAAAATCTAATAAGAAAGTGGGTGGTGTGAGAGTGATTTTCATGTGTAAATAGAATCATCTATAGTTTTAAAATAAAGTTAAAAGGGGTTTTTTGGGTCTTTATCAATAGTTTTTTAAGTACTTAAAAGATTTGCTAATTCTATAAGACGAAAATGTGAGTAAATCAGTATATTGGTATCACACTGACCTCCCCTTAAATTAAGTGTTCCTTTTATTATAAAATTAAATAATTTTAACATTGAAGGTTATTTTCTGTACATGGTTGAAAGTTGAAACTACCGATCACTGTTACCAACCATTAAAATGAAAAGAATCAACCTCAAATGGTTTACTTCATTTATTGATTTTTTTGGTTAAAATTCCCTTTGGAATATTTACCATGAACATTAAGTTTGTAGAATGTTTAATTGTCAATTGATTCCTTTGAGATTAGTCGAGATGTACTTACATATACTTTGAAACATTAAGTTTGTAAGATATTTAATTGACTCTTTGAGATTAATTAATGTGCATCCGAACTCGCCTAAACCTTTGGTCATACACAATATATATATAGGCCGAACGACTTATGCATACCCAAGGTTTACCGAAACGATAAGTTGGTACCTAAAAAGTTTTGAAACGACAAACAGGTACCTTTCGTCATGTGCTGTTAGTGATTTCTGTTTGTTCATAGTGAAAAGACTAAAATACCCTTAAAACATTTGATATTTTAGTTTTTTGTAAATTTAAAAATTTAAAAAAACCCCCTAGGTTTGCTAATTTAACTAAACACCACCATATATAAAAAGTTTGTTAAATGACAAAAACACCCCCATACCTGCAGTGCCAGATTCCGGCCACCACCGCCGGAATCTGGCCAGAAAATTGCGTTACGACACAGATCCGTCAGATCTGTGTCGTAACGTGTTGATCTGGCCTTTTCCGGCCAAATCCGCCACGAATATGGCCGGAAAAGGCCAGATCTGGCCGTCGAGGCAGCAGATGGAGTTTTGTGGCATCGACGGCCAGATCTAGCCTTTTCCGGCCAGATCCGTGCTGATCTGGCCGGAAAAGGCCAGATCTACAGCTAGATCTGACCGTCGTGGTCGCAAAACTCCATCTGCGGCGTTGACGGCCAGATCTGGCCATAGATTTGGCCTTTTCCGGCCAGATCAGCCACTGATCTGGCCGAAAAAGGCCAGATCGACGGGTTACGACACAGATCCGATGGGGTCTGTGTCGTAACGCAATTTTCGGCCAAATTTCAGCAGAATCTGGCACTGCGGGTGTGGGGGTATTTTTGTCATTTAACAAACTTTTTATATATGGGGGTGTTTAGTTAAATTAGCAAACCTAGGGGGTTTTTTATAAGTCTCAAAAATTCAACCTTTAAGGGCAGTTTAGTCTTTTCACTATAAACAAACAGAAATCACTAACCGCATATGACGGAAGGTATCTGTTTGTCGTTTCAAAACTTTTTGGGTACCAACTGTTATTGCAGCAAACCTTGGGTATGTTTGAACTATATATATACATATGAAGAGAATCTATAGGAGAGAGGATGGACCAGTGAGCAGCCAATAGAATCTCAGTCGCTTATTCACAAAGTGGCCCATTCAACACTTCATCAAACATTCAAACTTGGCCGAAACGTCAACATTTTGTAAGTCTACGGTATCTTTTTAATATAATCCTTTAATGCTCTCAATCTATTAAAGCCTTTCCATTCCGTAGACTACACTACATTTGTCTTCCTCTCTTTTATTTTATATCCCTTTTTGACTTCCTGCCATTAATAATAAAACTAACACCCATACAGTTCACATAAGCTGTTGCTGTTTCTGTCTGTTGCATTTTCCTTTTCTCCAAGATTCATTGCGTTGCGTTATCTTCGTACCATAAGAGGAAAGAAAATGGTTTCCAAAACAATTGATATGCTGAAGAAAGAACTTCCTCTTGAACCAGGATCTCTGCTCTTGTCTGGACATGTTAAGACCGGTCTTGTTCTTGTTGATATTGTTAATGGTTTCTGTACCGTCGGTGCTGGTAACTTGGTATTCTTCCTACTTTTGATTCTGCATATTATAATTTCATTTGGGTTTTTAGTTTTATCAGCAATACATATCGCTTTCTTGAATTTATAATAAAGGTCTTTTGTATTGACTTGATATTCATGTGGGTTCTGTGTTTTCACAGGCTCCAAGACAGCCTGACAAGCAAATATCTCATATGTTAGACGAGTCTGTGAAACTTGCCAGAATGTTTTGTGACAAAAAATGGCCTGTTTTTGCTTTTCTTGATTCTCATCATCCTGATATCCCTGAGCCTCCCTATCCTCCTCATTGTATTAGTGGAACAGAAGAAGCTGAGTTAGTTCCAGGTTATTGTACTATTTTTGTTGCTTCATTGTCTACATGTTTGTATAAAAAGATAGCTGCATATGTTAGAGCACATCAGTGACTCAAAAAGTTAATTTTTTTTTTTTTNTTTCCTTTTCTCCAAGATTCATTGCGTTGCGTTATCTTCGTACCATAAGAGGAAAGAAAATGGTTTCCAAAACAATTGATATGCTGAAGAAAGACCTTCCCCTTGAACCAGGATCTCTGCTTTTGTCTGGACATGTTAAGACCGGTCTTGTTCTTGTTGATATTGTTAATGGTTTCTGTACCGTCGGTGCTGGCAACTTGGTATTCTTCCTACTTTTGATTCTGCATATTATAATTTCATTTGGGTTTTTAGTTTTATCCGCAAGACATATCGCTTTCTTGAATTTATAATAAAGGTCTTTGTTATTGACTTGATATTCATGTGGGTTCTGTGTTTTCACAGGCTCCAAGACAGCCTGACAAGCAAATATCTCATATGTTAGACGAGTCTGTGAAACTTGCCAGAATGTTTTGTGACAAAAAATGGCCTGTTTTTGCTTTTCTTGATTCTCATCATCCTGATATCCCTGAGCCTCCCTATCCTCCTCATTGTATTATTGGAACAGAAGAAGCTGAGCTAGTTCCAGGTTATTGTACTATTTTTGTTGCTTCATTGTCTACATGTTTGTATAAAAAGATAGCTGCATATGTTAGAGCACATCAGTGACTCAAAAAGTTAATTTTTTTTTTCATATTTTTGCAGCACTAAAATGGTTGGTGAATGAATCTAATGTAACACTTAGGCGCAAGGAGTGTATTGATGGCTTTCTTGGCTCTGTCGAGAAAGATGGATCCAATGTCTTTGTAAGTTGGGTGAAGAATAATCAAATTAAAAATGTAAGTATTTGTGAATTTTACTAGGGTATATTTTCTTCTCATTGTCAAGTGTTTTACTGATTTATTAGAGAGTTTGTACATGTTTGTATGGAAAATCTATTAATTTTGGTTGATGGTGTGATTCTCCTTTTCTCTAATCTTGGTTACGTTTATGGTTTTGAAGATACTGGTGGTAGGGATATGCACAGACGTATGCGTGCTTGATTTTGTATGTTCCACACTGTCTGCCAGAAATCTTCGTTTTCTTGCTCCTCTAGAGGATGTAATCGTGTATTCACATGGTTGTGCAACTTACGATTTGCCTGTTCATGTTGCCGATACTATCCAAGGTGCTCTGGCTCACCCACAGGTATTTTGAGTTTTTTATATAGTCTCATGGATTCTAAATTTTGCTAAATTTTGTATGTAGAAACCGTAGTCAAATCTTGGACCAAACTTTTATTTCTCTGGCTGGCAACTTTGGTAGATATAGACCAGTAAATTTTGTAGATAGGACTTGTATTGCATCATCAGATTAAGTCATTGTGACTTTGAGTCAATCATAAATGGGTACTAGTGACACGATCGACAATTCTCCAAAAAACAATCCAGTGTATAAAAAAAATTCATATGTGCTAATGGACTTCAGTTTTGGATTCTCTTGTATTATTTGATAGGGTAATGCAATTCCCTAACTAAGTACATCGCTGAAGTTTGGGAACTTTAATTGGTTAATCAGGCCATTCAGTATGATGCAGTTTTTAAAGCAATACCTATCTTTTTATTGCTTCAGATATTGCAATAGCTTCTGCTAAATGATTGCCGGTGCAGAAAGTGTTACCTGGTGAAAGATTGAAAAGAAACAATGAATTTATATTTTTTCAATGTTTATCCTTGAGAACCTCTTTTACTGTCACTTAGTTGAGTGATGAACTTAGTTGTCATTTTCAAATGGAGTTTATTGTGTATGTGCTTGGTGATCGTTGGTTTGAGTCGATGAATGACTAAACTACGGATTCATCGTAGTTAGAAGGAGGGGGAAATGCTTTAAGAAGAAAAAATTCCTATTAGTAGGATTGGCAAGGTTCAGATAGGACATTAGAAATACAATCTGAGACTCAATATGGATACAGGGTAATTTATGCAGAGCACTATATCTGTTGAATTAAAGTCCGTATACCTTGCTGCACTATATCCGTTGAATTAAACTCCGGATACCTTGCTCTCTCTCTCTTTCTCTCTTTGGTTCTGGTACTTTGGTTTTGTTTCTTTTTCAATCGTAATTGTAATTCGTCTGAAAATGTTCAATTTTGAAGCTATCATTGTCCAAGTATTAGATACTAATGGTTTATATTTAGATGCAAAAATTTCATAGAAAAATGAAAATAGTAAGAATGATGATAAGTTATCTGCTTGTCTGTTTATTAGTAATAAATTTTGTTGCTAAATGTGCATCTTTCCATTTCATGGCAGGATTTGATGCATCACATTGGACTCTTCATGGCAAAGGGAAGGGGAGCCAAGGTAGTATCAGAGGTGTCCTTTGGTGCAGTGAAAGAGCCATGATCATAACCCCACTATGGTTGCTGGACCGTAAATGTATTTTCTTCTTAATACCGATGTTAAATAATGATATGTTTTAGCAAGGCATGTGAAAGTAGTAATGTTTTCTATGTTTGGGTTGGAATTCTGGAATGACTATAGTAGTTTAAAGATGTTAATATACTTGTTTCTGTAAATTTTGTGGGAAACTCTTCTATCTAGCATCATACATATGCAAATCATCTGGTTATTGCTACATCTTGTTAGTAATCCTGAATGTGAAAGTATTTATGTCTTCAGACCCAACCCTGAGATTTCATGCACGTTTTCATAAACTTCTTGGGACTAGATTTCCTTCTAGACTTACTACAGCTGTCTTCCTGAGAAAACTATATTGGAATTAAGAATATAGGTTGGTGATTATACCCTGAAAGTGTTGTTCCTCTAAATTTTGCAAGCAAACAGTAAGGATTCATCCAGTGAAATTTATTCTGCTGAGCTGTGGGTTTGCTGTCAGATAAAGAAATGAAGAAGATAAACGGAGATGGTCAACACATTCCTGCTGTTATATGATTTGTGTTGTGTTGAACCAGGAAGAAACTTCAAGAAAACTGAGATAAAATATTCACCAAAATCTGAATTAATTTGAGGAATAGAGAACGAGAGCCCAAAATATTTTTGTTGATTTAATTATAATATCACACTACAAACATCTACACCATGCAGAAAAAATACTTTCTCCTAAATTAAAACAAAAAGAAGGGGACAAGCTTTGGCTTCTGTTGAAATGCCTTGTAAGTAAATTGAATGAAAGAATAAGAAAATAACTCTTCCAAGTAAATACCAGCTTATCTACTCGATCCTGATCTAAGACCATTATACTTTTTTACCAGAGCAGGGTGCATGCAGTTCAACAGCGATGGCCGTTGCTTCTTTTGTTTGACACCAAAGATAAATGATCGCAATGGAACTCGAGTCTTACTATCTGAGTGTGGCAGCCTCATATTAGATGCATTCTTTGACTCAGAAAGCCCGAATTCCTCACTCAACAAGGTAAGAGTCTCATCAATATCAATTTGGAGACCTGTGACATGATCAAGACCAGCTTGCAGCTCATCTGCAACCTTGTTATTCTCTTGTTTCATGTTTAGAACCTCACCTTGGAACTTTGCAGCTTGATAGCTTGTGAAGGTGAATTCATCATCTTCAGCGCTTGTCTTCAAAGCTGCAGTTATTTCTTCCTGAATTTTGCATAAAGATGAGAACCTCGATGTCAATTCCTCTTTCAGTAACGCGCATTTCTCCATCCAGACTGTTAGCTCAGTCTGTATCTCTCTCAGATGCTTGTATAATGGACGACCGTCTGATTTGATAGAATATTTGATGCTGCTACTTCCCTCGCTCTTCTTTTGTTTCTCCTGGAGCTTTGAGACCTCAGCCTGCAAATCTTTGACTTCAGTTTCAAATTTTTGTATCTCATGGAATGAAGTGCTGAATCTTAACCAAAAATCCAAGTTCTCCTCTAGCACCTCATCGATGCTCGCCCTGAATTTTTCTTCAATTTCAGAAGTAATTTGAGATTGTTCTACTGGTAACAACAGGATGTCTAATTCTTTCTCTATTACAGTTCTTGTGATTTCATTCACAATTCCTTTTGGTTCAGCAGACCGATCTTGTAAATGTTTATTTTCATCACTGCAAGCTTTCAGTTTCTGAAGCAAGGATTTTATCTGTTCATCCTTCTTGGCGTTAGCACTTCTCAGTTCTTCAAGCTGCCCTGTTATGTGAGAGCTGTTTTCCCCAGTTTTCATGCCTTTTTCATCACGCTTCTTCTTGAGTTCCTTAAAATTCCGAAGAACTGAAGTATACTCTGTCAATAGAGTTTTTTCTCTATTCCCTATACCATTCAAGAACATATGTTTCCAGTCTGGTTCATCTTCTTCCTCATTTATCTTTCCCTGCCTATCAACACCGACAAATTTATGCTGTCCTTGTGGACCTTGTGGAGAAGCTTGGTTGTCAAATTTTTCCTGCGTAATCTGGTCCTGACCTAAAAGGTTACCAGGTTCATGATTTACCTGGGGTTGACTGAGAACTTCTCCCTTAGTCAAAAGGCCATGTTCTTTTGTACCCTTTGTAACATCAGCTTCTACATCCATTTCCTTTTCAGGAGCATCACTATGATTCAGTTTTTCTTCCTGTTCTTTGAATTCTTCCAGTGAACCAAGATTAACCACAGATTTCTCTTCTTTTTGTATTGACTCTGAGACCTTGAGTTCCTCATCTGGCTTCTCATTATTCTGCTTGTCAATAGCCAGATTTGCTGCATGTTCACATCCTTCAAACTCTTTCTGAAAGTGGACTTTAACTGGAGATGTATTATCTTTTTCCGTTGAACTTTTGACATCAAGCTCCTCAGATAGCTTCGGACTCTTAACAGAAGATGCATTATCTTTTTCCATTGAGCGAGCAATCACTACTCTCTCTTTCTCTCTTTGGTTCTGGTACTTTGGTTTTTGTTTCTTTTTCAATCATAATTGTAATTCGTCTGAAAATGTTCAATTTTGAAGCTATCATTGTCCAAGTTTTAGATACAACTAATGGTTTATATTTAGATGCAAAAATTTCATAGAAAAATGAACATAGAAAGAATGATGATAAGTTATCTGCTTGTCTGTTTATTAGTAATAAATTTTGTTGCTAAATGTGCATCTTTCCATTTCATGGCAGGATTTGATGCATCACATTGGACTCTTCATGGCAAAGGGAAGGGGAGCCAAGGTAGTATCAGAGGTGTCCTTTGGTGCAGTGAAAGAGCCATGATCATAACCCCACTATGGTTGCTGGACCGGAAATGTATTTTCTCCTTAATACCGATGTTAAATAATGATATGTTTTAGCAAGGCATGTGAAAGTGGTAATGTTTTCTATGTTTGGGTTGGAATTCTGGAATGACTATAGTAGTTTAAAGATGTTAATATACTTGTTTCTGTAAATTTTGTGGGAAACTCTTCTATCTAGCATCATACATATGCAAATCATCTGGTTATTGCTACATCTTGTTAGTAATCCTGAATGTGAAAGTATTTATGTCTTCAGACCCAACCCTGAGATTTCATGCACGTTTTCATAAACTTCTTGGGACTAGATTTCCTTCTAGACTTACTACAGCTGTCTTCCTGAGAAAACTATATTGGAATTAAAAATATTAGTTGGTGATTATAACCTGAAAGTGTTGTTCCTCTAAATTTTGCAAGCAAACAGTAAGGATTCATCCAGTGAAATTTATTCTGCTGAGCTGTGGGTTTGCTCTCAGATAAAGAAATGAAGAAGATAAACGGAGATGGTCAACACATTCCTGCTGTTATATGATTTGTGTTGTGTTGAACCAGGAAGAAACTTCAAGAAAACTGAGATAAAATATTCACCAAAATCTGAATTAATTTGAGGAATAGAGAACGAGAGCCCAAAATATTTTTGTTGATTTAATTATAATATCACACTACAAACATCTACACCATGCAGAAAAAATACTTGCTCCTAAACTAAAACAAAAAGAAGGGGACAAGCTTTGGCTTCTGTTGAAATGCCTTGAAAGTAAATTGAATGAAAGAATAAGAAAATAACTCTTCCAAGTAAATACCAGCTTAACTACTCGATCCTGATCTAAGACCATTATACTTTTTTACCAGAGCAGGGTGCATGCAGTTCAACAGCGATGGCCGTTGCTTCTTTTGTTTGACACCAAAGATAAATGATCGCAATGGAACTCGAGTCTTACTATCTGAGTGTGGCAGCCTCATATTAGATGCATTCTTTGACTCAGAAAGCCCGAATTCCTCACTCAACAAGGTAAGAGTCTCATCAATATCAATTTGGAGACCTGTGACATGATCAAGACCAGCTTGCAGCTCATCTGCAACCTTGTTATTCTCTTGTTTCATGTTTAGAACCTCACCTTGGAACTTTGCAGCTTGATAGCTTGTGAAGGTGAATTCATCATCTTCAGCGCTTGTCTTCAAAGCTGCAGTTATTTCTTCCTGAATTTTGCATAAAGATGAGAACCTCGATGTCAATTCCTCTTTCAGTAACGCGCATTTCTCCATCCAGACTGTTAGCTCAGTCTGTATCTCTCTCAGATGCTTGTATAATGGACGACCGTCTGATTTGATAGAATATTTGATGCTGCTACTTCCCTCGCTCTTCTTTTGTTTCTCCTGGAGCTTTGAGACCTCAGCCTGCAAATCTTTGACTTCAGTTTCAAATTTCTGTATCTCATGGAATGAAGTGCTGAATCTTAACCAAAAATCCAAGTTCTCCTCTAGCACCTCATCGATGCTCGCCCTGAATTTTTCTTCAATTTCAGAAGTAATTTGAGGTTGTTCTACTGGTAACAACAGGATGTCTAATTCTTTCTCTATTACAGTTCTTGTGATTTCATTCACAATTCCTTTTGGTTCAGCAGACTGATCTTGTAAATGTTTATTTTCATCACTGCAAGCTTTCAGTTTCTGAAGCAAGGATTTTATCTGTTCATCCTTCTTGGCGTTAGCACTTCTCAGTTCTTCAAGCTGCCCTGTTATGTGAGAGCTGTTTTCCCCAGTTTTCATGCCTTTTTCATCACGCTTCTTCTTGAGTTCCTTAAAATTCCGAAGAACTGAAGTATACTCTGTCAATAGAGTTTTTTCTCTATTCCCTATACCATTCAAGAACATATGTTTCCAGTCTGGTTCATCTTCTTCCTCATTTATCTTTCCCTGCCTATCAACACCGACAAATTTATGCTGTCCTTGTGGACCTTGTGGAGAAGCTTGGTTGTCAAATTTTTCCTGCGTAATCTGGTCCTGACCTAAAAGGTTACCAGGTTCATGATTTACCTGGGGTTGACTGAGAACTTCTCCCTTAGTCAAAAGGCCATGTTCTTTTGTACCCTTTGTAACATCAGCTTCTACATCCATTTCCTTTTCAGGAGCATCACTATGATTCAGTTTTTCTTCCTGTTCTTTGAATTCTTCCAGTGAACCAAGATTAACCACAGATTTCTCTTCTTTTTGTATTGACTCTGAGACCTTGAGTTCCTCATCTGGCTTCTCATTATTCTGCTTGTCAATAGCCAGATTTGCTGCATGTTCACATCCTTCAAACTCTTTCTGAAAGTGGACTTTAACTGGAGATGTATTATCTTTTTCCGTTGAACTTTTGACATCAAGCTCCTCAGATAGCTTCGGACTCTTAACAGAAGATGCATTATCTTTTTCCATTGAAGTTTTGACTTCAAGCTCGTCAAATAGCTGCGGACTCTTAACAAGAGATGTATTATCTTTTTCCGTTGAAGTTTTGACATCAAGTTCCTCAGATAGCTTCAGACTCTTAACAAGAGATGTATTATCTTTTTCCATTGAAGTTTTGACGTCGAGATCCTCTGACAACTTCGGACTCTGAGGTCTCTTGAGACCATCATTAGGATTCATTGCACCTTCTTGTCCTTCTATGTCCTTCTGCAGCCTGACTTGAGCTGTGGATTCTTCCTCTTTTAGTGATGTCTTGTCTTGCTTTGACAAAGTTTTGACCTCAAGCTTCTTGGATAGCTTCACAATTTGTTGTTGCTTATCACTAGAATTTATTGCATCTTCTTGTCCAGGCATTTCCTGCAATCAGAGGTATGAAAAGGGTCATGTTGGTTGATATAATATTAAATTTTATGATTAAATATCATATATTAAATAATATTGTTTTTTTAAGTATACAACATCAGCACGATATATACTCAAAATATGCAAGGCGTAAATTAATGTTTTTATTGATCTTAGAAAAGGTGACAAAATGACCCATTATCTCTACCTGCAACTTGACTTGAAATGTAGATTTCTCCTCTTTTTGAGGTGAACACTCAAGCTCCTCTGGCTTTAGATCTTTGGGCTTATCAGAAAGGTAATCCAGATTATGAGCTTCAGTAAAGGTTCCTGGGAGATTGTTGTTAAGGTCTTCTTGAAGCCTGTGCAACTCATCATCAGTCTCCATCACCTTATTGCTTAAATGTATTTTGCTATTGATCAGTGTCAACTTTTCACTTTCCAAGGTTTGGATTTGTGTCTGAAGCTCATCAGTCTCTATTGTTAGTCTCTGTATGAGTGATGTCTGTGACGAAAATGCAGTTTCCAAGCCAACCACCTTGTTCACAAGCTCATCAATCTTCTCAGCCATTTCTGTCACAGTGAGAGATGCACCAGAGCCAACCTCAAACTGTTCCTTTATATTCTCTTGTGATGACTTCATGTCTTCTGTATCTTGTGCAGCACTGCCTGCCTCTTGGTCTAATCTTTCTGGTTCTTCTACTGCCGTTGTGGAATCATCATTTGCAGGTGGCTTCGTGGAATCATCCTTTGCAGGTGGCTTTCTCTGATTGATTTCATTGCCAAGATCCTCATCCTTGAGAGACTCAAACTTCACTCGAGCATTCTTAACCTTTTTTACTTCTACTTTTGCTTCCTTAGCTACTCTCTCCTGTTTCTCTTGCAACTGATCCAATGTCTCTTGGCAAGATTTCAGAGCTGCAGCTGCCATCAAAGATCGAGCCTCCTCATCTTCAATGACTATGCCTTCTCCAAATTCATCTTGCAATCTGCTTACCCTTTCCTGTACTTCCTGGATCTGGCTCTCGATTTCCCAGTACTTTGCCAGTCTACTCTCGTACGAGTTCTTGACAAACTCTTTCTCAGTTTGTAGTCCCAGGATCCTTTTCTGAAGCTTGTCAATCTCCTTAAGCCCCTCAGGTTTGCTTAAACCAGATTTAACAACTGCAACTGTAGGAGCTCTTTTATTGGACTTATCGGCTCGCAATTTCTTAGTGGCTGTTGTTAGGATGGTCTTTAAATCTTTTATTGGGGTCTTGGGAACATTTGGGATATTTTTTTTTTGAATCTCTTTAGGCTTCTTTACGTTTCCTCTCTTGGCATCGTCTTCGTCGTCATCCATTGCAAACTGAACTTGTTCTGGGAAAACAGCAGCAATGGTGGTATTGGCATTCTGTAGTTCTGTTGAAATATGATCATACCGTTCAGCTAAGGCCCGATATGCCCGGAAAGCTTCTTCAACAAAGTTTATCAGCTCTGGCCTCTTCTTGTAGTACATTTCTGCTCTTTTGGCAAAGGAGTCCCCATCTTCTTCTATAAGTTTAAGTGTGTATGCCACCTTTTCCTCCATATCTGCAATTGTCATTTATTTTGTCAAAGAAATTTCCATAAATTAATAAAAATATAGCTTCTCTTTATGAATCTTTCAACTGTTTGATTAGTATTAATTTGTATTCCTAATTATGTAATTTCAAGATAAAAAAAAATATTGATATTTTTCTTCCTTCACTTTTGATATCATAATTACTTAAGATGATCAAAGTGATTAAAAAAAATAACAAATGAAAAGCTTGAAGATACTGTTTGGTCTTTCTTCATAATTACTCTATACCTTGCTTGCCACTATTTGTGCAAAAGTAAATTGGTATTATGGCTAGTTGAAATTATTTTCTTGTGATCTGAATCAGCTTCTCGGTTCAATTCTCGACAACAACCAAACTGAAGAAATAAACCATTGTTCCCAGAAAAGAAAAGAAAAAAAAAAAAAGGAAACAGAGGATTGACTAAACCATTTCTGCATAATGTTTTCAAACTTGATAATGTTTGTCTGATGCTGGGCAGAAACTCAAATTCCTGAAGTTGGTTTGTCGCAAATGTGGTGAAATAAATAAATCAACAACATATATATATAAGTTTGATCGAACTTCCATTATCAGAGACAAAACCCTGCTCTGAAAGGAATGAGAAATCTATATATCATTGAGAAGCTATTTTTCCGGAATATATTAGTTGTGAAATCTGAATCACATAATTTTGATTGTGATATTTAAATTGTTATTTTAAAATGATATTATATTATTGAGAATCAAAAGGAACTTGAAAGGCAATTATGATGAACAAACACAACAATCAAAATGATCCGATCAAACACATTCTCAGCATGCAAAAACAGTTGGTTATCTAAAAACATATAATACATAAAGTTAATGAATAAAATCTGAGCCAAAATTTAACAAAAAAGACCTTGAAGGTTCTGTTCGAGCCATTTGGACTGCTTTGTTCTTATGTGGCTTGCCCACCACCATGAATATGCATTACTTGCAGCTCTCTGCAACATATCTTAGGTTGTTGAAGATGTGGTGTACGTTAAAAAACTTAAAAAGATGAATATGTATGTGTGTGTAAAAGAAAGATGGTGATGATGAAGAGGAGGAGAAAGAGTGTTGAAAAAACAAAGAAAGAGAAGAAACGTGCAAGGTCATGAAGGTTTAGATATTGTTAATGGAGGGGAGCAAACTTCGGCCGCTTTTAACTGTTGGAACCTTCCCCTTTTCTTTTCTTTTTTAATGTTTGGATGTCCATTTCCATTTGCATGGCACTTTTCTTCTACACATTTTATCTCATTTTTTATTTTTTATTTTTATTACTACGCTATGGATTATTATTAATAAGGAATAATTTTTTAATATTACAAGTTTTTTACTTAATTAAAATAAATAATAATAAAAATATTATATATTTCATTTACTTTTTGTGAGATAATTAAATTCATTCATTTTGTTCATAAAGTAATAATAATTTTGATGTTTTATATTTTCCAGGGGGTTTTTAATACTTTCTCAATGAAGCGGAAGAGTTTAATTTTAAATTATCTCAGAAAAAATCAAACCTTATATTTTATTTTAGTTTTTCATCGTTATACCTTTTACGCATTATGAAATTCTAAGTTTAAATATTATTTGTACTTTTTTTAATGAATTTTCTTAAAAAGGAATATCTGTCTAGTAATTTAGTGAATCCCTATAAATAATCTTGTTGATGCTCAAAAAAATAAAATACTTTGGAATATTATGCACCAAACAAGAAAAGAAAAGAAAAGAAAATTGATAAATTGAAAAGGAAAGGTGGGGGAGAGCCAATGGTAGAGAGGCACGTAGCATAGGCGGCATTTGCCAGAGTGTGATGTGAAGAGTACCTTCTTTAACTGGGCACTTTTAAAGAAGAATAATTATTAAGATTAAAAGTTGATTGTTCAATTAATCAAAGACTCACGAGGGCGTGGGGGTGGGGGTTGGAATGGGATGGGGGTGGGTCAATCTGTCACCAACCTGTTCATGTGGTTCATTGAACCGAAAAACCCAAGGAAGTATGCAAACCTCTAACAGCTTATAATAGATATCTATCGTTTAAATTTAAATAGAAAACTGAAAAGGCCGACTGGATTAGATTTGCTTTATCAAGTATTGCTATGGCATTGGCTTTACAAGGAGTTGTTCATACTTCATATGAGGTTTTCGTAGAATTTATGATGTTGGAGAAATACAAGGAAAGAAAAAAGTTAATTTTGTTTATTGAGTCTGAGTATCTAATAAAGTTACAATGTCCTTACACACTTGGTGTCTTCTATTCACCTTAGCAATGCGCCATGGCACCTGACCATTGAAATAGTATTCCTTATCCTTGGTATCTGAAACTTGGGACGAAAGTTTCGGCTGAAGAATCTCTGCTTCATCAATTGCCTTAACAACTGGACACACAAATTGAATTTGCAACTTTTAAATAATACAACCACCTCAATTATGTGGGCTACTTCACACACCCATCAAACAAACTTACAGATAAAATGTCATCAACACAATATTCTTTGCATTTGAATGGTTGGCAGGAGAGAAGACATATTGTGACAACAATGGATGGTGGGTCACAATCAGAAAATGCATTTATCCTTACGCACTTCTTAAACACAATATGCCTCAATGACGTGTTCGCCGTCAATCAACCATGGCGAAGATAAGAATTTATTTACATAAAGACATATTCACATATCAGTATTTACACAAATTTTCATGGCTTTACCCAAATTGGTTGATCTGCTGCTATCAGATACTATCCGTGACACTAGGAAACATCTGTTTATGTCCAAATTTAACATGCCGCTCTAATTGACTTTACTCTCGATTGACAAGGATGTAAGTCCCTGCGCATCTCTACTGAAGAAGCTGATGCAGATCCTACCAATTATATTTCCTGCTCCGAATTCATTTACTCTATTTTTATTCTCTTATTTTTATTTAGGATTAATATATTCGGTTCTTCAAATGCATCACAGGATGAAGAACTATCTCAGCAATGGCATATGCTATAGATGCTAGGGTAGTAGGCTTCAGAAAGTCTGAAGAGAATGAAGCCACTGCTCCATAAAGTTGTTTCCCTCTGCATATCCAACCAAAAATACAAAAACACAATTCAGCCAAATGACAAATCTTAGCCTAATTTTAAGACTGGCACAAAAAATACACATTTCCTCTCTCCAAGGTAGAGGCATCCAAATAAAACCATTCAAACATACAAAAAGACAACATCTACCGAAATGATGCCATGGAGAAAAAATAAATAAATAAATAAAACTCAATAGATTACAAGGCAACCACCCAATAGCCTAATAAATTAGAAAAGGGCGCTTATGTGAAAATTGATAGATCTAAATCCCTCAACAAGGAAAATAACAAGTATAGCATCTTATTGGCACTCTAAACCATTTCAGAACAGGGATTGTATAGCGCAAGTGAGGGCTGCCATGATAAAAGAAAACAACGGGCCATTTGAATGATCACACGGAGAGATCACCATCCTCCTGGCATAGGTTATTGGTTTTTGTGGTCCACATACTTTTGGTTAGTTTGCAAGTAGTGATGTAGTATTTCACCATCTGCAACTATAAAACTTGCAGTAGTCTTGTTCAGAGGGTGGTGACCCTCGCTAATCCTTTGACAAGTTTTCACATGCCTTCAATACAAAATCAGAAGGGTTGAAATTCATTTTCATCAATGAGACAGTATGTTCTGTCAAAATAGCTAAGTCAACTTATTGAAGCTCTGTATGACAGAAATTGTGCTGCCAATTTCTTTGGACATTTATGTAGAAGGAATTGTCAATCTTATACAATGGCTCTAGGTACTTGTAAACTGTTGACATCATAATCTCAAATTTTTCTTCTGGCGTCTAGTAATTTCAATCCTAATGCTATCTATTTTCTTAACACTATTAGGATAAAAGGATCCTCATCACTTCTGAATACAGCAATCTGCATATCACACAAAAGCCCATACATGCTATTTATTTAATAAACTTGCCTTATTAACAGGAGATCCAAGAAGTTAAGATAAATATGCTTTATGCAATTACTTATAAGGAGCATATAGATCATAAAACAATACAAATGAACAAGGAATTACTCGCAACAGTAGTATCCAAGTCCCGGAGGCACTCATGTTGTTAAAAAGAGACATCATACCATTGCAGTCACAAGTAAAATGAAATAAAAAATCATCATGATGATCAAACAATGACAGACAAACTTCATCACAGTAACAATGATTAAACATGGACATCCTAAGATTTTTTTTTTCCCCTTCTTTTAGATTTGACCCTCGGGACCAGCACCAATCAGCCAGAAAACAAAATGCCAATTGTCTTCAGAAACAGCACACAAAAGTCAATAAATCATAGGAGATCCATAGTTCCACCACAAAGCAAGTAGATATAGCAATTCACTCAAACAAAGAAACAAATCAGAATCATACAACCGGAAATAAAATATCAAAGATTTGACAAAGAAATAGTACATACCAGGTGAAAGCTCATTTGGTCGATTCTTGACACCAGTGAAGAGCTGGTTATTTGAAACCTCAACCATCTGCTTGGAACCAGGCCTATAGCAAGGAACCAACACTGCAAAACTATCATCAGACTCATCATCAGAGTGATCAGACAGAAAATCAGCCCCATGAGGCTCTAACCACCCAATGGACCAATCAGAATCATCAGATTCAGATCCTGATGAACAAACACCACCATCAGATGGCACCAACACAACATCATACTCCTTATCAACCCTCTTCCTCTCTTCCCTACTTTGCCATTTTTTCTTAACCCTTCTTGGTGTTGAAGCTATCCTAGTTGATGGGAATTTCACAGTATCACCAAAAGAAGTCCACTCATTAGATTGTGAACTTAATGAAGACCCGTTTGAGACGGGCTCTTTCTCTTTATTACCACTCCATAACCAGCATGAAAATCTAGTCAAAGAAACTGCCATTTCATCCAAAACACCAAATATGCACCCACCAAAATTTGACCAATCTTTGATGATCTGTTCACACCAAATTTGGGTTGCAAAAAATAAATTGAAATTGAAGCTCCTTGCAAGTGGTTAATGCCTGTTGCAGTAACCGCTATATCAGGAAACTCAAATTAATATAACACCAATTTAAGAAAGATATAATAAACCCAACTCACAATCTCAATCTTTCAACTCAATCAACTAAAGCCAAGCCAAAATTTGCACAATCAATTACAAGAGAAAGTTTTCTTCTAAATCAACTCAACGCGTCATTATCCAACAACACAAACATCACTTCTTTGTATTTAGTCCACGCTAAGTCACTCTCTATTAGTAGAAATCAATTCACACTACACAAAAATATGATTAACAAAAATAGTTTTAAAATGAATTTTCGTTAAAGCTAAAAAAATTGGGACTTTATCAGCACAAAATCAAATCATGCTTGGTCTTTAACATTAAAGTTTCAAAATCATCAACAAAAGCAAATTATCTTCAAAAAAAAATTTGATTAAAAAAAAAGTCAAGACCTTGAGGGGCAAAATTGAAATTATCCGTGATCAGAGAAGATCAAACGGCAAAAATTCTCCCTCGCGTAACCGGAAAGTCACCGGAAAACTCAAACAAAATTTCACAGGCAACAAAATGGAGACGTTTAAGTACAGTGAGAGAGTTCACCATACAAACCGGAAACTCTTCACCGGAGAGAGAAACAGTTGGTCAAAAATAAAAAAAAATAGGCCTATCTATCTCTCACCCTCACTCATCTTCACTCATTCTCCCTCCCTCTCTCTCTCTCTCTCTCTCTCTCTCTACTGAGAACTGAAGTAACAAAGGTCGTCTCTTCTTCGTGTTTATATAGACCATTTTTTTGTTTTAATTTTAAATAACAAAGAAAACATTTTATAATTACGGAAGCAACATCCGACGGTGGAGATCGAGAGGCGCGTGTGTGATGAGATGATAAAAATGAGTAAAATATTTTTCTGGGATAGAGTATCAACCGTTGATCTGCCGACTAGTGGGAAGCAAAACCGTCCAAATTTGCTGACGTGGGTGATTCAAAACCAATCATTGCGTGTGTGTCCGGTTCAAGTTACTGCCACGTGTAAATTCTTTTAGGCTATGGTTTCAGAAATCCGAAAAGAAATTTTCCTTATAGAGATTAGCCATCAAGTTGAATTATTTTAGAAAGGAAAAGCAATTCTGCTTTAAATAAATATTGATTTATATTTATTATTATAATTAATCTTAACATGAATTTTATTAAACTCAAGTCGAGACTTAAATGATTCAAATAAGAAGCATTTATCTAAACTTAGATATTTAATTACAAAAAATATGAGGAGATTATCACTAACCACCCTTATAGTTTCATTAATCAACCGTATATACCAACTTTTGCACATCAAACAAATACCCCTAGATTTAGAAAAACCTCATCATTAACACCCCTTTAACCTAACTTTGTCTAATAATATTTATTTTTTATTAATTTTTTACTTTTACTTTGTAATTATGTTAATTTATTATTTATTAGTTTTCAGTTTTATATCTATGATTTGAGAAAAAAAAAAAAAAAACAATTTAAACTTTTACCACTGATGTTCCTTTTAGAAGAGTAAAATAAAAGTATAATGTAAAACAAGTATGTATAACTATTGAGTTATATGGTTCACGAACTAAGTGGAGTGAGTTATAGTGATCCAATTATTGTTAAAAAAAATATGTTAGACATGCTCAATTGGGTGAAATGTTTGAATTTGATCGTGCTCGTTTGAAGCAGCCTAAGGGGTTGCTTTAGGTAAAACTAAAGCTAGATAAAGTTAGCTTAAAGGGATGTTATTGATAAGCTATTTAAAATCAAGAGGTATTGGTTGATTAAATCTGCGAAAATTAGCATATATCCATTTATTAATTAAAGGTTGGAGGGTGGGGGATGTGCACTGCATAAGTTAATTCCCATAAATTTAATTTGTAAAAAATATAAAGAGAAGTGGCCAAGGAATTTCGTATGAAATGGTGATTGGGGGTGGAATTAAATAGAAAAAGAAATGGAAAGTGTGGAGTTGACGCGGAGAAAAGAGAAAATATATGGGAAGAAAAATATCGGCAACTACAAATTGAAGTCAATTTCAGCATCTGCATCTTCTTTGAAACAATTGCTCTCTCTATCTTTTTCTTTCTTTCACGGAAATCAATATGCACCAAGAATATATTCTTGTTGGTCTTATCTTTATCCACACAATTTTCTTTCTCAATTATTCACATTATTATGACATGCCTAATTTCCAGGGAACTAGTACAATGTCATGCCAAGAAAAATATATTATGTGATTCAGGATTTAAGTAAATTGAATTGATAAAATAAGGTAACTTTACTCTTTATTTTGTAGCATTTGATGATTTTGAAAAAGGGTTAACATTATTTCCATATCATTTACCTATGGTCGTCATTATTATGTACTCTATATATATATATATATATATATATATATAATCTATCCAATAAAATACTCCTTTCCCATCTCATATTATTATTCAAGAGAGCAATGAAGAAGAGGCACCTTTGAGAGTGAGTGGACAAACAATAATTTAATATTTATTACCATCCATGACTATGATTTGGAAGTCTACATGGAACAACTTTAGCTTCATGGTAAAGAAACTTCACAATATTCTATTTTTATTTTAGCTTCTTTTTTTTAAATTTAAACAAATATCATCCACCCCCTATTACATAGCCATGATGAATGGAATCCTATAAATTCCACACCCCTTTGTTTATTTCTTCTTTGTTTTTATATGCTTATGGGAAAAAAAAACTACTTTTACATAATATCAAATTAAAAGTGCTTTAATAAAAAAACAATCTCCATGAAACATAAAACCAACCTGATTTGCATCCTTTATTATTGTTTAATCTTCTAATGGGTTATTCAATTTGGGTCTAAAATTATTCAAACCATAATTAATCCCATCAAGATTGTATATCTTGGCTTCAAGTGCCCACTTCATTAGTATCACTCTCAAAAGCAGTAATGCAAGTAATTACTATACGTGGTATTTTTGATATGTTATTTAATCATGGTAATTACTCATTTTAAATAATAAAAATAAAAAAAAACCCCACTTGGAGGGAGCATGAGGTTAGCTTGGTGAACTTTTCGTCCTCCACTTGAGAGCCAAATCCATGTGCCTTGCACCATCAAAACGACAAAAAGATAGATTTTACTTTTGTTCAATTTTACTTTAGAAATTTAGCAAAGTGGTGAACATTGAACAACTTCTCTGGGGCAGAGCCGCTGGGTCCCCAATTTAGAAAATTAACTGGCTCTTAAAAGGGGCTATTCTTTGGAGAAAAAGATTTAACTCATCTTAAGTTTTTGGTCTAATAGTCACGATCCTCATCTCGCAAATACTATAAAATAGTCCCCTCAAACTAACAACACCTAATCAAATCCTAACTCTGAAATATATATATATATAAACAAGTAAATTACTAATAAATTATCCGTGTACCCTTAGGTGGGTTAACGTCGATTAGAATCAGAGAGAAAAGGTCTAAAATTTTAGGTATAATTTATGAGATGTTTGAATATGACTAATTTATCTGACACATGTTGTGTAAGATGTATTTTAAATAACATAATCCAAAATACAAAAGAATTACCCTATAATTTGGTTTTTCTACTATTAATTTTCAGAGAGAATCCGGAAAGTGCTTAACTAAATCAAGTATATACATATAAATTAATTAGCCGTCTAACCAGTAAGATTAATTTCATAAAATTTTCCCAATTAATCCGACAAAAATGAATGTGACATATGCTTACTTTGGCCGGTTGAGACTTAGGTTAATTAAATTATTTAATTTCACTCCTTTGATTACATACACACTTTTGTTTTTATTTAATGTGAAAACGGCGAATGTTTTCTTGATAATTTTTTCATGTTTTTAACTCTCTTTTATTTATTCCTATTGTTGAGGGAAACCAAGAAGTGCAAAATTGACTTTGTAGGTGAATATCTTTTTATGATGAAAATCATATTGATATAAATAATTTAAAACTTTATATTAAAATTTAAAAATAAAAACTATTTTATTCGTTTATCTTAATCGTTTCAAAAATGAACTAGTCTTATTCAGATAATTACACATAGAACGAATCAATGAACAACTTTTTTATTAAATAAAAGAGCTACGATTCCTTTAGCTTTTCGTGAAAGACGGAAAACAGCAACATGGGTGGATGTATAAGGTATAAAACTCGTTATCAATTTTGACCCGATTGTTTTGATAATCTAGAAACCCCCTGGCCTTGCAAAAACAAACAACAACATGGGTGGATGTATAAGGAATACAACCCATATATATATATATATATATATATATATATGACAGGGGATGTTTGAACTAGTTTATACGTATCTCAACTCAACTAATCCATCGAAATCCTGGAATTATCGATCAGGTAAAAGTTCAAGTGGTTACGTCTATTAGCATCCAAAGAAAAACTTAAACTTAAGACTTCTTGAGTAATACACCTAAAAGTTCATATCAAATTACTCAACTACTTAGAGATAGTTATAACTAAATAAGATTCGATTACTATGATAATTTCGAAATCTTCTACATTTTCTTTGCGATCCCGAGTTTAAAATTGGGTTGCTTGACAAACCTTATTAAACTGTTAAATACGACTATTGATCATACAAGTATGCATAATGGAATTCAAATATGAGACTTTGTGAGAACAAACCACAAACTTAAATATGGGACCAATTGTTAGGATCTCACATCGGAATCTCACACCCACCAAGTGTGATACTTAAGCATAAGGACTCTCTCACCTATCAGTCTGATCTTTTGGATTGGATTCTTCCACCCATCAAGTGTGGTGCTTAAGCCTATAAGCTTTCCTACCTATCAAGCCAGTCTTTTGGGTTAAGTTCTCTCTTGAACTTGAGTTCTAACACCAATCTAGATAAATCCAACCCGATGAGGTCGGGTCTGAAAGAGAAACACCAATGTTTACTAAGCTGAAAAGTGTCAACTGTGAAAAAGAGGGGAGTCCGAGTCAGAATTTGATGGTAATTATATTGACATGGTGACAGTGTGAATAAGTATGAGAAGCAGCCCATGTTACTCGTAAGGACAAGGCCAGCCCTTTAAAATCCTTCTTTAAATTGTGATGTTTCATATATGTTGTCATGATTTCATTCTGCGATGACATTACCGAATGTGAATACGCAACGACATCCTAATAAAATAACAGGCGATTTCCTTTATGACAACATTCATTTGACTTATTTAAGTCTTTCTACGCCCCAATTTATAAATAAAATCAATTAGGCAGTGGTTGAGTTAAAACAGTGACAGTTTTTGTCCTTTGTTACGACTCAGTGATTATAAAATATGGTTATTTTTATACTTCGTTTTTCACCCTTTAAAGTTTAAACCACTTGATTGCAATTTATGAATAATTATATATTAATTTCTAACCATTTTAAATATATTTCAATCCATCACATAAATAACTTTCTTTTCAACTCAGCTCATGACCACGTAGGGATGGGTGATTGCCCCGGCCCGGCAAGGGTCCGTCCCGAATTTGGTGGGGAATCCCTACAAATACCGGGAATAGGGCTGGCGATGGTCTTAAAAAAAATCTCCATTCTCAAGGACGGGCCGAGGAGGGGATTGCACTGGTCTTCAAAAAAATCTCCATTCTCAAGGACGGGCCAGAGGAGGGGATTGTGCAATCCCCGCCTCGGCCCGTCAACTTCGCCCTAGAGGAGTGCTGCCTTATTTTATTGAAAATTTTATTTTA